GCAAGGACAGTGCCTAGACCACCCACTCGGGGTCCTGCCTCTGCTCCACCTCCTCTGACCTACCTGGGGGTGGGCACTGCGACTCAGGAGAGAAGCCCCAAGAGCATCTCCTTCCCTCTGCCTTCAAGCTGCCAGGATTTTCCCTGGGTTGAAGTACAGCCTCAGCTACACACAGGGATACAAAAGCTGCACCACTTGCCGGCGCTGGGCTCTCTCTCCTGAGGGCAGTACGTGTCCTCCATCAAGGGGGTCAATGAGTTTAGTTACACTTCATCAGAACTCTTGTAGGTGTCTGGAAAACTGAGCTCATAATCCTGGTATTACAGCCCTGTGGGAAAGAAGACCCTACTCTGAGGTTTGCCACGTGAATTTTGGGTTCTGCTGCTCAAACACCTCTTTCTGCAACTGCCTTTAGTAAAGGAATCTTGTGACTATAAATCCCACGTGTGTGACAACTGTATTTAAAGCTGAATTACCAAACAATGCTCCAATTTCAAGGTTTTTTGGCATCAGTATTTGTTGGTCATTCAAACGCTACTGAACAGCAAATCCTTTAAGAGTGAAGAGCCGTAAATGTACCCTGGGAAGTGAGGGAGCAACATATTTGTATCATCCAGAGGAGGAAGGGCACGGAGTCCTTCCACACACGGTGAGGACTCCATGGGCTGGTAAATACAAAGGGAACAGTGAGCAGATGGTGGACAGGAGGCACTAATGCCACTGCTGGTCTCCTGGGGTCGGTCCAGATTGCACCGGGAAGGGTCTCCAGGCGGCTCCTGCTGAGGAAGGTGGGTGAATGTGATCAATAGAAGGCATCAAGTGCTGGCTTGCGAATCAAAGGCACAACTGTGGAAATGCCAGTCTGCACATGGGGTTTGACTGAGCTGCCAGGAAGTTATCCAGAGGCACTGGAAGACCAACCCGGTAACAGGAAATGAATGAAAGCATTTCTGAGCGGATCCTGGGCTGTGAGTGCCGCTGGGGGTATTTATACAGGCAATTCACCCCATTAAGGGGCTGCTCAGATGTCACAGATTAGCCACTGCCAGCACTAGTGACCTTTCTGCACAGTGCTTTAAGAACAAAAAGATGGAAATTCCCACTTTCTAAGCGTGGTCCAAAAAAACCCCTCTGTGCTCTTGTTAAAGCAGCTGCATTGAAGAGGAGTGATTAGAACTGGCCTGCTTTTTTTTTTAGCTTGCACCTGTCTCTCATTCCACAGCTGAGGACACACTGAAATCTGCTTCCCTATGGGCCTGATCCTGCCTGAGCTTCAGGTGGTAATTAAATTCATCATCATCATCTACACCTATTTCCACTTAACCTCTTGAGGGGAAGAGCCACCTGAACACCAGCAGTTGCTGGAACTTGCAGGAGTGAGGCACCCACAGGGAATAGAAGCTCTCCCATTTCTCCATCTCCAAAAGGGTGAGACTTTTTTTGGTTTTCATTCTTACGGAAGTTGAGGGCTTGCAAAGGATGGGGGGTCAGTTTCGAGCAGAGTTTTGTGTCAATCTCTCAGGAAGGTTTTTGATTCTTGATTATTTTGCTTGGGTAGTTCTTACACACTGGTCTCACCCACCTTTGGAGCTGAAGTTTCTCCATATTCCCTCAGTTTCTTTTCACCTATGAACATGCACAGTGCCAGGAGTTTGAGAACTAATGGCTTCAAAATTGTCATTATTAGCATTTTTTGTAATCCAAAACTATTCCATTTTTGTGCCTTTAAAATGTGATGGATGCCTGGGAACTGACTGGCACTATATAAGCAAATTAGTCTTTGTACAGTAAGTCAGACATCCCACATAATCTGTATTTCTGGGGAAGAAAATGTCAAAGTAGAACTTGGGATTGTTTTGTGACAAGGTGCTGAGGCAAGGCAGCAGGATGCTCACTGAAAATTACTAACCAAAAACATGCCTAGCCCTAAAACATGCCAAAACAGGGTAAGAATAACACATTATTGTCATATAAAATGCTGCTTCATCTTGGCCCAAAGTGTCACACCAGGTTTTATCACGTGGCAGTGAGGTACAAGGCTCTTAAAAAAGATTAATTTTCCAAGGGAATTGTACCTATTTCTTATGTAGACTAATTTTACTGTTGTCGCCGACTGCTTGAAATAGGAATAAAATTAGATTTTCAGAATAATACTTTTTCAGGCAAATGCATTTAACGTGAACAATATCCTCAAAAATGGCTTGCCACACAATTAAAACCAAACTAAACAAGAAATTTAGGAAATATTTTTAAAGAAATTTTAGAAAGATGCCACATTTAGTGAAGTGGGCTTCTTTGCCTTCTAAAAAAAGTTATTAATGTATTTTTCTTCTATAAAAGTGAGGCACTCATAAGGATTTTCTTAATTTCAAGGCAGTACTGGAACTTTGTGTAGTTTGATTCCGATTGCATGATGGAAAACGACTACTTTTGGCATTCTAATCAGCTAGTGAACAAATTCCCTAAAAACTGGGGATACGAACCAGAAAATGTTATTCATTAATTTTGTTTATGGTTATTTAATTTTAATTATAATACTTTAAAGCCATTTAAATCTGCAACTCCATCATGTGTAAGTTAATGTGGCACGTTTTGCAGAAATAATCAGGGCCTGGTAATCCAGATCACCACAGAGCCCGTAATTAAATCTTTGATGAGAGATTCAAAGTGACTTTTAAATGTGCACGTGGCTCATAAAACACTTGAGAAAAGCTCTACTTTTGTCATCACAACTTCACAAATGTTCCTCTGGCATTGCCCAGGTTCAATTTCTATTCAAATTCAAAATGGAAATGTTTGTAATTGAGTAACTGCCTTGTAAATAAATATTGTCCATAGGTAGGAAAACAAATTAATTCTCACATCAGTTTTCCTGTGTAGGGAAGATGTTCATCCTCCTGCCCCTCTGACAGCACAAAAATGGGGTGCAAAGGGGCGGTTTGGGTTGCTCTTTGTTTTCTGGAATCATTTCCTTGTAATTGATTTCTGTGTTTGAGACACTGCCCCATGTTACAAGATGGGAGCTCAGGGTTTCCAGTGATAACAAAGGTGCCTGCAGGCAATTAGAGACCTCGGGGTTTTAGGAGTCTGGTCACTAAAATATGTTACAGCTCAAGGCATTGTTTAACAATCTGAGTCTCTTCCAGCTGTGAAACACTCCCATCATCAAGTAGGTCTCTGGGACTCCCTCAGGAACGGCAGGCTCTGGATCTCCAGCTGCTCAGAACAAAAATAAATCTCTTTGAACACTTATTTGCCGTCACGTTGTGTGAGGACTTAGAAAGGCTGAAATATTTTAATCGTTCATCTCCATTCATCAAATCTTGTCGTTCCTGACAAAACTCCAAAGTGGTTTCAGCTGTGGGTTGGTTGTGGCCGACACCAAACTCTGTGCACGGAGATCAGTGTCGTGGTTAAAGACGTGCCACACACAGGCCGTGCCTCTGGAACCGGGGCAATTCCTGCCCCTGCAGAGACACCGCACGGCATTCCACAGCTCCTTGCTACTTATGCTCCTGGCTGTCACAGAGGGATAACAGCAGAACTCCAATAGCTATTGATCACCAGCCTCTCCTAACCAGTATTGGAATCTCCTTCATTAATGGCCATCAGCCTTTGCTACTGACACGTGGTGTTTGTTATCACTGCTGTGGTAACATAGAAATATTCATGCACAGGTTTGGTTGGGATAATTCCTTAATGACAAACTCAACAGAACCTGTAGGTCTTGACTTCACCAGGGTGCAGAGAAAAACTGTTTTCCCTCTCTCTTTTCTGAGCTGCTTGTTTTAAAGTGGGAACTGTTTTGTTTTTTTTTCTCTAGATTTTTAGATGTTATTGCTGAGCTAAAAAGAAAGGGAATTAAAAAATCAAGTAAATTTGGCTGTAGTTTAAACGTTCTTTGACCTCTTCCTTGCTGGTACTGAAAAACATTAGATAAATTATTATATATACTTAAAAACATTAGGTAAATTATCAACAATCGTGCTGCACAACTTGGAGGTGAGTTCTTACAGACTTAAAGGCTTTTAGGTTGGCAAGTATTTTCAAAGGGATTCCAGCATATTTCATTACACTGGTTTTCCTTACGTGTTCCTCCTTTTTTTATAAGCCCTGTTTTGCTTCTCCCAGCCTTCCATCCTTCCAGAGCAACCCAGAGCCCTTCAGTGCCACACTTGTGATGTTGGACTGGTTTGGAATGTGCAGTCAGCAGAAGGGAAGGTGGGAGCACGTGGGAAAACACGCTCCATCTCCCTATGCAGAGATATCCCAAGTGTGCACCTCAAAGGAGGAGCAGTTCATTGCTGGCCAATCCCATGGCTATTGCATGAACACCCTCATCATTCTCTGCTCTTCTGGGAGATAAACTTCCCTGGACTTCAGGAAAACTTCATATCAGCACTTCTTAATATCCTCTATCAGAGGCACAAAAAGCCCTCAAATTATTTAGGGAGAAAAACCTTATCCCACTTCAGAGACAAGATAACCTGTGGAGGTGCAGAGCTTAGATTATCTTCCCAAATGGATACAGCATGGGAATGAGGAATCAGAGGTACTGCACAAGAGTTATTTTGGAGGGGTTTTGTTTTCTTTTGAAGCACGAGCCAAAACCCTTTGCAGGCTCCTGTGGAAACGTTCACATTAACATCAGTTCTTAATTTTTCTGGGTTTTGGATCTATTTGATGAAGGACAGAGAATAATGTTGAAATTGCTATAAAATGTTAAAAATGTTTTGACCTACTCTTGAATTTTTATATACGTTTTTTTTAAGCTGTGTGGTTTTGACTATTGTTTTATTTATGCCCATAGCTGTAACTAGGGATAATAACCTGGGCAGTGCTGCAGTGGCCCTGCTGACTTCACCTTCTTTATCAGTACAGTTTTCCACCAAATTTTCTGTAGCTTCTGAGATTTTTGTTTAATTATTCTCTTCCAGAGAATATTTTTCCCGTATTGCTATTTCCAAGGGCTTTCTGTCTGGTTTATTTTCTGTTTTCAGGACTCAGTGAAGCAGAAAACCAAAAGTTAGTCTTGAGTGGTTGGGGAAAATCCTGAAAGTTGGCGGAGGTGGTCTCCGGATGATCCAGCCCGGTTTTTCCAGGACGAGGGAGCAAAGAGCTGGCAAGTGCAGGTAGGCTTCCTGCACTGAATGTGCTGAGAAATCACCCTCACAGACGCATTCCAGCTTTGGCAGTGCTCAAGTAATGGCTGTTGCTGCTCCAGGGAGGAAATAATTAAAGCCATTTCTTGACTCTGACAGTTTGATACCGCTGGTTTTCAATAGCAAATTACCAACATCTGTACAGCAAAATGCAGCTACTGCAGCAATTATTGAGCGGGGCTGACCACAGAGGTGCTGGAATTGTTCATTTGCTGCATGTCCCCTCCTCAGATGTGACCCACAATTGAGACCTGAGCTACACACGATGGCAAACTGGGTCTCTTGTGTTAGAAATGTAAATGAAACCATATGGAAAGATGAATATTCCGTGAAAACCCCAGTGGCAAATGCATCAAAGGCAGAAAATGAAAGGCTGGAAAGACATCTGAATGGCTTTCTTAATTATGTAACAATTTCAAGTTTCCAGAGCAATTCAGAAGTAAAATTTGTACAATTCATTCAATTCCACAAAAATTATGGCTTTTCATTCCCACATACTGTTACAACTGTTTTGCGTAGTAAACATACAGAGTGTGACTGTGCAAGCTGAAAACTCCCATATAGGGCCCACAGCAGACAGCACAGCACTGCAAATTTTCACTGCTGGTGAAAGAAGAAGGTAGCAGAGAAGTTAAATAAGCTCTGTATATCCCTAACTCAAATATTTGATTTTAAAACACTAGCTAGAAAAGGTAATACCAATCCGAGCAGGAATGAGAGGCTGCGAGATGAAATATGTTTCTGAGAGAGAAGTGCTTTGGGATTGATAATAAAAATACTGCCTTATTTCACTGCTTTTGTTGTAACTACGGGTCTGTCAGGGTTTTATACTATAATCCACTTTGGTCAGGGATTTACTGATGTGTAAAACTTGAGTTTAGTTTGTAAATTGGCACTCTGTCTTCAGCTCCGTTTCACTGTTATTCAAGCTTCTGAACCCGATCAAGGCATAGTATAATTTCTTATAAAAATATGCAATAGTTTTAAATTAGAGCTTCAAACTTCAACAATCTTTTGGGTGGCCTGATGAGGGATAAAAATAGCTTGTACACCTATCAGCTGATAACTGAGAGGCTTTAAAATAGATTATAGTCTTCATGGCCCTAATCAGCTAACTAGGTGGTGGCAAAAATTACCTACAGACACAGCTTAATTAAACCCTTACTTTCCTTTAGAGAGGAGAGAAACATGCTTGAAGTCCTAGGAAGTCACAGCATGTTTGTCAGAATTAGATGAATTTAATTTAGATATTGATATGCAAGTGCCAGTCAACCTAATAATGTATTGAATTGATTGTACACAGGTATATCTTGAAGAGAGCATCTCATTACAATGATGTATTTTAATAATTATTATACTGCAATTTTCAGTCCTCCCTGCAAGCAGAGTATTGTGCAGGTTATGGTCAGATGGTGACTGACCAGTCTCCATCATTCAAGTCCTCCTTGTAAACCTCAAGCAATGCAGGTCATGACATTTTGGGGTGGTAGTACAAAATTCAAGTGCTGTGCAGAGGAATTAAATGGAAACTAAGTAGACTGGGAAATATTTGTGCAGTTTTGAAGAGAGATTCTGCTCTGTATTCAGTTAGATGTACATTACAGAGGAGAAAACAGCTCTTAAAACTCACTCTTGATCTTCATTTGACACGAGTGTGGGCAGAGCAAGCCAAAGTATTATATTCACATCAGTAACGTCCCGAGACCCTGGGATGAGTTATTGCAGTGAGACCCCCATGAATCAATATTGATTGGCCACTTACTTTAAGGCTACTTAATTAAAACTAACAGGATGGCACAGCTCCCAGGGAAATCCACAGTGCTGTGATTTATGAGTGTGCCTGGGAGAAAGGGGGAAGGACAAGGTGTAACAGTTCTCTTTATTTTGCAGTTGAGCTCTTTCTCCAGTGAGGGTAAATGAACTGTTTAAAAAGAGCAACTGGATGAGTGCAATAAATAAACTAGAAGAGCTGTTTTGGCAGTATCTTGGCTGTTAGAGAGGAATTCTGGCTTCTTACCAGGGTACCTGACTGTCCTATTGCATATGAATGTCATCCAGCATGAAGCTCTCTCATGTTAATGAGAGAAGAAAATTATTTCCCTGTAACTGGGGTTGGAGCGAGCACAAGTTGCATCACTGTTCTGTCAGGTTTTCATTTCTGCTGAATGTATTTAGTTCCACAATTATATCACATTTCAGCTATTTATTCACAGTATCAAAATCTGGGGGAGTCCACCAAGCTGTCTTGAAGTGTATTTTTTCCTAGAAATCTACGTAATCTACTCCTTATTTTTACCTATGTCTCGATGCTTTGAGGAGCAGTCGTTTATTTTTTGTCAGGCTGGTTTAGGCAACAAGTTGTACTTTCTCTGGCAGCCCTGTGAACTGTGTGTGTTTGTTTGACCAGAGTCACGCGTGAGATGCAGAGAATCCAACCCACTGTGTCACTAACGAAACCCTGGGGCTTTGCACCTCCAGATATTCCTGTTTCTCAGTGGCCAGTGGACAGGAAAAGTAAGGAAAATCCCACACAATGAATGCCATAAGGAATTGTTTCTCATCTGCTCATATGTGCACAAAAATAAATATAGGGAATTATGCCTTTAAAAGTTGAAGCCTTTGAATTGTACTTAGCAGGCAGAAGTCAAGAAGTCACTTGCAACAGAACTGGGTTTGTTTTTTATCAGCACTTGCAATATCCTGAATCTCTGCTTGCTATTGCAAACAGTTTGGTGAGGGAGCAGCTGAGATGCCAGAGGACAATGTATCCCTCCCTGAGGGGAACGTCTTGGACACTGTTAAGATAAAGGCAAGAACAGCACAGGGAAGTGTGATTTAGGCAGTGAATTGATTTCTTTATATTTCTCTCAGAGCAAGAAACAAACCTGAGAAAATATTTTTTTACATCTGATGCTAGAAGAAACCAAACTTTTTTTCGTCTCCTTATTGTGCTAAATGATAATTTGTGTTTTGTGAACATTCTAAATGAACAGTTACTGTTTCTAGAGGATTTTACTGATAATGTTTGAATTGAATTAATGCTCTTGGCTGAAATCATCCACTCCATTTTTTTTGTGAGTTTTGTTCAGGTGTATTAATTTCCAAAGACTGGCAGGCATCAGTTCTCTGTATTCAAAAGACTGAATTTTTGAAGGTTTTGAACCTTAGAAGCTACAGAACTTGCTGCTTAAAGGATTTAATCTTGGAGTTTTGTCAGGAGTCTGAAAAATTGTGCTTTGTTTCTTGAGTTGTCTATAAGGGACATCAAATTCTCCCAACAAACACATATTTGTAAGGAGTTCTTGGGAATGAGAAGTATTTTATTTAATATAGAGTTTTCTTCACAAAATTATTTGAACCAGTTGCTTTCTCATTCTTACCCTTCCTTCATTTTCTTCGTCATGCTTATGGCATCATTGTTAGGACTCTTGGAGGGATGGTGGCTCTGACTTTTCAGGGAAGTTTTCTTTTGAAAACTTTCTTTTTGAAACTTTCCTACTCCTGGTATTTCAGGAAGGAATGTTGCTGGGAGAAAGGGTGTCCATGCTTCCCCAAACATTGGCATAGAGATTTAACTGGGCAGAAGCCCCCAGACTCTTGTGTGGGTGAGCACGTTGCTGGCTGGTGATCTGGTGTTAGCACAGGCAGCACTAACAAACTGCAGTACCTGTTGGGGTGTTTCCATCTCCTATTAAAAGTAGATTTATATAAAGTAATATTTCTCTGCACTGCCATCTAGTGAAGTTACCATGCTCTGTAAAGGCTTTGAGACTCTCGGCCGAGCATTCTAAGAGTGAACTGTATCTCAGGGGCACACAGGGCTTGGTGCACAAAACAGAGTTCAGTGCAGAGCAGCTGGTACTGTCCTGAGGGGAACAGCAAATATTACACAATAAGTGAGATACAGTAAATGTAATGATTGTGACAGAGAGAGCCTAAAAAAGGGTTTACTCATGTTATCAGAGGAGCAGGAATGACTGGCAAAGCACAGATTCAAAACACTGAGTTTTAAATAAAGCAAGGATCAAAGCTCTGCAGCTGCTGGAATGGTCCAAGTTCAGGCTTTTTTGGTAGGAAGTACCCAGGTTTCGTAGGGTCTGTGTCTTCGAGCCCACGGAGTGATGCCCACCAAAATCCTCACTGGAGTTCTTTGGCCTAGAACTTGAGTGACAGTTTCTAAAACAAGCTTTTGAGACTCTCAGTGATGCCCAGGTTGTGTTGGGAACCACCCACTGTGAGTGTGCTCTGACTGATGGGATTTGCTGCTCCAGTGCCGGGGTGGGCACCTAACGGGGTCCTGCTGTGAGCAACGTTCCACCTCTCCATTTCTGCTTAGCTCAATGAGATTGATTTTGTTTAAAGATCCTTGACTATTTTTGGAACACACAAGTAGGTCAACCCATCGTTTCCTGATAGTGGAAATAGCTAAAATAGGACACACAGCTCTGAAATCATTACTCTCTCTTCATGTATCATTTAGTGAGCAAAACCTCTCATAATACTCTTGTGAAAGTCGTCTTAAAATCTGAAGCTGTTCCCAACGCAAGTTGAAAATAGACATAATATTAATATGATTTAGAAGAACTAAAAACTCAAGACAAGTGAAAACCAGATCCCAAATTTTGTGAGTTATCCCTCAGCCATAACTGAATTAAGCATTATCTTAAAACACAAATGAAAGACGAGTTTATATTTTAAGTTGGGGTTCACTTCTAAAGTTTTTGGTTCCAGGCAGGACCTGTACATGCACAGACTTGCTGTATTTTCCAAAGTTGTGGAAAGGAAGTGAAGCAAATTGGTCATCTGGCAAATAAAAGACAAGTGCAGGGTGGAATAAGTTTCTGATTATTATTTATTTTGGAGTGAACCCTATTTTAAGGTCTTTCATTGAATTGTGTCATAAAGTGTAAATTACAGAACAAGGTTTTTTAACTTTATTTGTTAAAGTGTTTGAGAAATCCATGAGCCTTTGAAAAAATCTGGAGCTTGTAGTTCTGAATGAGTTTGCTATATTCAGAAATTGGAGCCATATTTAAAGAAAAGAAAAATCCTTTATTTTACTGAAGAAAGGCTAAATAGGATTGAGCTGTAGCCACTACCCCCCTGAGCCAAGCTGACTGACTGAGAGAGGAGCTGTTCTACCTGTCTCTTGAGGCAATGAATTACTGTCTTCTAAATAATCTCAGAATGCCAGGGCAGCCAGACAATGACTATGCTGGGAATTATAAGTAAGCAAACACTTTGGTTCATTGGCAACTGCACTGCTGATTTTTTTTTCCATTTTATTTCCAGCCAAATTGCATTTAAGCTTCTTTGTTCAAGGAGTTCCCTTCCTGAGTTAGACACAGTTAGGTTTGAACGCTTAATTGCATGTTGCCACAATACTGACAATTCATTTTTATTGGAAAAATGCAGTCCTGAGTGGAAAACTTCAACCAGTGCAGTTTGTTTATCTGCAGTTTCCTCCAAAGTGTTGCAAGGGGGGTTGGCATAGGGAGAATCTGGTTCCTAAGCAGCCCTGTTATAAACAAGCAGCTAAAAAAGTACATTAGGGACTTAGAGCTGATAAATGCATTATTGTTCTTAATTCTGCGCTGTAAAAATGTTCTGTTGGAAGGATGAATCCAGCTGATCAGGTGTGTGAATACTGAGCTATGCAGAACTGCTGCAGTTGGGTTTGATAACACGAAAGTTTCTCATTCTGTCAGTAACTTGAATACTGTCCTATTTCCACACAGGAAGAAAAGGTAATAAAAAATGAGACCTCAAAAGTAATGAGACATCGAGAGTAACCTTTAAATAGTTTTCCAGTGAAAAATATATGGATTTTACTTCTAGCTCAGGCTAACATGTAGTATCTGCAGAAATGACTTGTTTTCAGTCAAACCTCTCTAATCAGGTGTCAGAACAGGGTTTTGTTGTTTGGTTGTTGATTTTACTTTTCTTGGAAGTCATCCTGGCTGTTATATCCTCTCTTCCCACTCTCCAGCCAGGTAGTAATTGTATTCCACCTTGTACACAGGGTTTCCACTACATGTAAAAATAGTGCATACTAAAAAAACGTTGGGAGAAGGGAGAAAGATGTAACTTAGACACTGCAGGTCATCCTGTCACGTAAGAACAGTGTCAGGCCCAATATCCACCTCACTCCAATCCCTGTATCCTAAAACCACCAGGAGGGAATACCTTAGGAATAAGAATTCCCAAGCAAATAGTGATAAAAGTAAAGGCTCCCAGGGAAACTTATTTGCAGCCCAGCTGTCTTAGACTCTCCTGGTGGACATCACTGAAAAGTAATGTCGTAACAACCACTTCATATTGGTCGAGAAGAGCAGAACTCGTCAGCAATTTATTACTGTGCAAGTTTATTTACAGTTCTAATTTTCTTTCCATTTACTGAAAGAGTGAAAGGATTAAGTGAAATATTTTTACAAAACAAATGAGTGTTTTTTCCAGGAGGAAGGCAGAGAGATACTGCTAATAAGGACAGATTCCTTTGATGTCAGGCCCCATGCTGCATAAACTTGGTGGACCCATCATTTGTCCTTGTCATCTTGTAGGGTCTTTTGGCTCAGGGCCAAACAATTGATATAGTGGAGAGCTTCCAGCTAAAACAACAGCCTCTGCATCTTTATCTTCCCATCCATCAGATGGCTGGTGGAAGATAAGGCTAATTTGTCACTCTACCCACTTGGAAAAGTTTGATAAATGGTTTAATTAGACCTTTTTCTTTGTGGTTTTTTTTTTTTAAAGAAATCACATTTCTTGAGAACTAGAGGTTGGGAAAACAATGGCTAAGGATTGAATTAGAAAAGGAAAATATTTTTTCTTCAGTAAAGATGAGAGCAAACACAACCATTACACAAGTGGGAAGAGTACAGTTGGTGGGAAGGAGTTTCAAGGGAAAAAAACCAAACCACCCTAACACACAAATACTCTGTGAGCTGTGCAGTTACCCAAAGATAGTACCTACTCCATTCCAGGCCAGAACTTGGCTTCAAATCTTATCCTTCAGTTTTGGGACAGAAGGAGGCTGGCCAAAGGCCACGTGCAAATCTTCTCCTCATGAGTCAAGGACTCAGCAAGTCCAGATCCCAGTTTTGAATGTTCTGGTCAGGACATGCTAAAGGTAAACATGAATTTGCATTTTCTTATTTTCTTGAGGTAGTTTTGTTGCTTATGAACCTGCATGGGTTAAAACCATTGGTTTTGATGTTTTTTCAAACTTTCAGCCAGAAAAAAGGGAGGAAGAAACCAAGTAAAATTCTGGTCTCAACCATTGTTTCACCCACCATGTTTGGACAATTATCCTCCCATTTTGCATGCATAATTGTGGCATGTATTCCCACATGTGGTGGATGTGTCTGTGACAGCTGCAAATCTTAAGTTAGATATGTCCAGGCTTTGTATTTCTAATCATCTTTTCATGTAACTGTTTCATTTGGGTCACCAAGGGAGTATATTTCTCCTTTCTCTGGTCTGACATAAATTAACAAAGCGAGAGACAAACTGCATCCTCCTTTTTTTTGATAAACTGTCCAGAAATTGGATGTAATTCAGAAATAATTTAAAAACTCTTTAACCTCTAGGCAGAAACCTATAATAGTGAGGGAAAGACAAATATTTTTCAATTAAAAAGATTTAGAATCCCTTTCTCTGTAGAACACTAATCTGAAATGACACTGAGGGGTAATAGGCCTGGTATTAGTGCTTCCCCAAGGAAATGTCTTATCTTTTGCACTAAATTAACTGTGTCTTTCTCACACATCCTAAAGCTGTCAGTTTGGGCATTCTGTGTAAGGAAGCTTCTGATTTAAAGTTTCTGAGAAGAAAGGCAAAACAAATGTGTTTAAACAAGAATGACCTTTCATGCCCCAGTCTCCACAGCCTGTTCTGAAGAGGATACACATTAACATTAAATCATTAGCACTCCTGGAAAATCCACAGGGACAGGCTGTGGGAGAAGCCCCTGTGTGGGTCAGATCCTGGAGGCGAGATGTGTAACTGCAGCACATGCCAGGATAAAGTGATGATGGATTGGGATAACACTGAGGCCTGGCAAGGGCATCCAGCACAGCTACAACCAGAAATGATCCCTCCTGACTCCTTGGTGGCCTGAGACCAAATAATCACAATGCAAATGCCACGTTGGAAGGGACACCTTTAATAAAACAGGGAAAAATGGTGTAACAAGGCATCTCCTGCTCCCATGAGCAGTGTAATGGGGATGGTGGAGCTGTCCATGCACACAATCTGGGCCCAAGGCAGGAGCTGCCCACATCCCATGAGAAGTGAAGATAAATGGTACCTGCAGCTTTAGATCTTCACCAGGAAACCTGATTTATCTAATTGCAGAATCTAAAAGTTCAGCAATGTTACCACACGCTGAGATGTGAAAAGTGCATTTACAGGATTATTTTTTGCGTTGGAGGGAAAAGAAATGAAGCATTTTCTTCTGTATAAAGAAATGTCTTGGACACGAGGAAAAAAGGATTATTTCGATCCCTGTGTTACTGATTTGCTATTTTAAAGTAAGTGAATATATCCAATATGTTTGACTATATTTTAAAAGTAAGAACTGTCAGAAATAAAACTCGCTAAGTCTAGAGTAATTCTTTTTGATTTAGAGCCAGTTGTGGATATTAATATTTTAAATGAATTCAATATGTTTTGAATTGCTTTGCCACTTGGTTTACTTGGAAACTAAAACCATTTGTAACAAAACAGCTCAACTGCTTCTAAGTCAAACCAGTGTGTAAGAGCATGTGAAACTAACACTTCAGACCATCAAAAAAGAAACTTTTGGGTTATATAAATGACAATGATTAGAAACCAGACCTAAAACTCTACAGGTACTTGGAAAAGAAAAATAATTCTCCACATTTTCACCTTATGATTTACAATAAGGTGCCTTTTTTCCCCCCCCAGTCTTTTTTACTACACATAGAATACGCTCAGGTACTTTTTTACAGGCACATTTAATACTAATAATGTGCATTTTAATATTTAGTACCATTTGCAAAATGAAGCCTGCTTTCAGTTTTGTTTATTCATACAGTCACACACCTTTAGAAGAACCTGTTACGTGTGAGTAGAGGTGAACAGCTCCTAACCCGTGACAACCCCTGTACAGAAATCATGTCTAGCAGTCACTCCTAAGACATGAAATGAAGCAGGCTTTCAATACTTCACCTTACAGTAGAGTGAGTTTTATTCAAACCAAACTCTTCAAGTGTTTTATTTAGACCCTGAGCTGAAATGAACTCTGTAAAATGCTTGCAAAATAGACTTTTGAACACAGGTTTTCAAAATGATGCCTTCATTTTTATGCAGTGGCAAAGGTTGCACTGAACAGAGGGCAAACAGCAGCGAAGGACCAGATTTACTGAAGAGTAAAAAGCTGCCCTAATGGATCCCAGGTGGAGTTCAGTCCTGAGCAAAGACTTCAGGATTTGGTGATAATGCTGACCACCATTGTGTCCACTACATATTATTAAGAATTAAATTAACTACATTTTCTTTTCAATACAGATTCCAGTTGCTCCTGGAGTCACAAAGAAGGGAAGAGGAAACACTGTGATGGGGGGATATAAACCCGCATGCAGGGACATGAAGCAGAGGACCTGTATGTACTGAAAGTGGTTTATATATGTGTGCTCTGATCTTTAAATGTAACCCTAGTGCTTATCACAAGTTAGTAATTGCTTACCAGAACCAGACTGGCCTTTCAGTGTAGCATCAAACTCGAGGCAATGAGGGCAACATGAAAAACAGCTTCTAAGTTATCAATGCCTTGGACTCCTTTGCCTTTTCTTTGCCTGAAGAACCAGAAATGAATGTATTATCCTTTCAAACTGCTTTGATAAATCTCATTCCCTTTAGGATTAAACATTCCTGAACATTTTTATGTCTCACTGAGCTCTTTCAAACAAACATAAATTAATTCTCTAGCTCAACATTTATTCCCATATAAGACCTGATTCCCCTTGTCTCGAGTGTTATCCTCGTCATGGTCATTTGTGCAGAGTGACCATTCTTACTCTTGCACCTGCTCTGACATGGCTTATCTGAAGCCATTCTCCATTATTCCTCTTTGCTTTTCTGACAGCCCACTCTGTCAAACCTATATATTTACACAAGGAGCACCCCAGTAAACAGTTCATGTGCAATGTTCAGTATTTGTGTAGTAGCTGAGAGGAGGGAAGCTGCTGACAAAGTGCATGAAGGTGATACAGACTTGATAGAAGGTGAGGTTTTTGTCCTAGCAAATCTTTGTAAAGAAATCAGCGCTCAGGAAGAAGGAAGGAATGATCCATCCCAGCTCAGACAGAGCCTGAAGCACATGTATATTCATTCAGTAATTCCTCTTTTCACATGTAATCTTAAGTTACATGTCTTAGTGATGTAGCAGTCCTCGAATGAGTGAGATGGCACACCAGATGACATGACAAAAATATCAAGTGAACAAGAAGGAAAGCACAATTTGTGCTTCAGAGTATGACTATTTCAGAACTAATGGGACTCGAAAAAAGTCCCTGCTTTCTCCTCCTTGTGTGTGCTGTGTCATATAAACAGACTATAAATTCTTCCATGATAAAGTGCAGTTCTGAAGTGCTGAGGTGCAACAGAGAAAACCAATCTGCATTAAGATACAACTGATTTGTCTCTTACACTTGACCTGCTGTTTGGCTGCTGAAGAGCCATCCTGTAATCGGACGTGTCAAATTACCCCCTCATTTCCTTTAGCCAAGGGAAGCTGCTAAAGGAGGGCTCTGCCATTCTCAGTTTAATTGAGATAAACATCTGTGCATTTGGATGATCATTCCACTCTCCTCCAGTGAAGGAAGTGGGACTCTATGGCTGTGACATTTCCAGGACTCTGGACAGGGCAGGATCCATGCAGAAGTGCTCTCCCTTGCACTGCAGTATTGCTGCACTGTTGAAATTAACTCAGCTCCAGTAAGGAGGCAAAAATTGGAGGAAAATGTTGTCAGGTAGCCTGAAAAATATTTTTTCTCCAAGTGGCTTGATTTTGTGATTCATGTGTGAAGTTTACATTGTCTCCTGTTCTATTCCAATTGATATGTACATTTCTAACTCGTGTGCTGTATTTTTGCATATTATGGATCTAATTAAATCTGGAAGCAGATAACTAATTCCAAATGAAGTTAGACAGAGGTGACCTATAATGTTAAACTGCAGTGTTTTCGTATGTTAGTTTCCTATTAGATTTCATATACTAATTTTAGAATTTAATAGTGCCAGTGACTTTATACTTAAGAGTTACACCCTGCCATTGGTGCATTTTACCTAGTTATAAATTCAGTCAAATTCCTATTCCATCTTTTACCAGCTCAATGCATTATACAGTAAAACTGACCTCCTAAACCTTCCCAGGCAAAACAACCAAACAAAGGCTGCTGAAAGCTCTAAATATCTAAAATGGTTTAAGTGTCCTTTAAGAAACGTCTTTCCAGTCCCTACATACATCTGCCCCCATTATAACTGTATTTTGGGGGGAGAAAAAACCCCACCATTTGGGAGCTGTATTTCCTCAGGTAACATTGGTAAAACACATAAAATTCCTCTTGTTTAGGCCAATGTAAGCTTGTGAAATCTGGAGGCTACTATGAAACATTTATAAAAATGCAATCCTGCAAAGGCCTTTGCGTGGTGAATGCCAGAAGTACCACTGTGTGCAGGACATATTTTTAATATTGATAAAAATGGAAAAAAAACATAAGCTCAGCCAAATCTGTGTTCCAGGCTTGGACTGTGACCACTGACAACCTCTCAGCTACACGAGGAGTTCAAGGAGTGCACCACAGTTTGTCAGTGGCTCCCATGTACCTCTTGCTGCCCTCATGTCTGAATGTCACCTTCCCAACTCTTCTGTGTGGTAAGGAGTGATGAAATGTCAGTTTAACAGGGAAAACTGAGTTTCAGAGATACGAGCACTCCTCTGTTTCCTGTATTTCCTCATACAATGAAGATATGATCCTGATTTCAGGACTAGTGATATCTCACACTGACACAATGCCTTGAGAAAACAATAGGATAGGCTGGCACAGGTACGATAACATATCAAATTGATATAGCCAGGATAAATACCTAGAAATGCCACCATGTACTAAAATAATGTATCAGCAACGAATGACTGCAATTCCCACCTCCTTGAATTTCAGGAAAGGACTTCCATTTTCCTCCAGGGCCTCTCTTTTAATAGGGGAGGGGAGGGCAGCTGAGATTGATAAATAGGCAAGCAAAGCCACAAGTCAAATGGTGCAGGCTCCAGTCTGGATCTGCTGTATGTGATTCCAACAGCCTGGAACAACCAGCAGGAATTGCTGTTCCCAACAGTGGGGCATCTCCACACTGCAGGGGCTGCTGTGCTCATTTATCAGGTTTTATGCTGAGAGTCCAGGTTTTACAGCAATACAGGACAAAAACTGAGTCTGCATATTGTCAAGTCCACATGGAGTTTGTTTGAGGATGCTGTGATCAAAATGGAGAGGTTTTGTAGTGAAGACACAATTAAATCATAACTATCTTTTTCACAAAATGAGCTTTTACTGCTGGAATTACCAGCTGGGCTCCAGTCACAGCATCACCAAGGAGCTCTTGGACTCTTCCTTAGCTCTCCACTGGTGCTTTGCTTCTATCTGGCCTAACAAGCAGAAATAGAGTCTGGCCTGCAAAGTTATCATTAGAATGTCAATAGAAATATAATTACATTTTGTCCAGCAATGGAATTAGCACCACTAGGAAACAAAACCATTTTAGGTTTCTCCTGCTGTGTTTGTATGAGCTTGGGGTCTCTAACTGGCAACCAGGGAAATTTGGCCTTTGTGCTCAAATAATGTAATGCTATGCTTTCCAGCTCGAGATGAAATTACTGCTGGTGGGGTTTGTGCCGCAGGAAAAGAATTGCTGTTGCTAAATCTTCTGGTAGTTCATGGTTGCTGAACTACTTTCCAATTTCTATGGAAAAGAACATGAGCCTTCTGGTGCCCATTCCCTGTCTCTGTGAGCACACTCATTTTCTAAGACTCTGGAGGTGTGTGAGGGAGCTCAGCAGTGAGCTCTGGGATGCTGCTCCCTACATCTCCTTTCTGGGGACCCAGGGTGTGCTAAGGGTTTCCTGGCAGGCCATGTGCCCACATTTTTCCTGGTGAGGGCAAGGACTGGGGATAGCAAAGGGGAAGGGCTTGGGTAACCATAGACTTGTATTCTGTGTTTTAATGTACAAGTCAGTTAGGAAATAAATGAATCAGTGGAGATTCCTGGAGTGTTTCTTGCACATCAGGAGATTGGCTTTTCCCTCAGCATCCCAGAAAACACAGTATTAGCTCAGAGTGATGGTGAGGAGCTAATTCTGCCTATAATTGTACCTCCTGTACCAGTATTGCTGCATTCTCAAAAATGGTCCCAAATGAGATAAAATCACCAAACTGAAGCCAGTTCCTCTTACATGTAGCCGTGAGCCTTTTTCAAAGGATTCTGAAATTACACTGCATGATAGGTATTCCAGCTGCTCCTTCAGCCTTGTCCAACTGCAGTGATTTAGAGCAAAGCCTTCATGAAAGCAACGGGAAATTTGTGCTCAGTCTTGCCTGGCCAGCTGGATTCCAAGTGCAAACCAAGCCCTTGTGCTGCCCTTACTCAGGGATGACGGTACAATCAGGGTGGGGGTAGGTTGGCATTTTAGTTCAGACCAGAGTGCACTTCTGAAGCAAATTCCCTGATTTCTCCCAATTACCATGCTTGTCTTTGCACCACAGGTCAGAGCACAGGAGCTGGACTCTGGGATGAATCCAGCATCAGAAAGGTGCTCCACGAGGACAATTCCTGTGCTCCAGCCAGACCAGATTGGAAAACCCAACCAGGTGTGCAATAGGGATGTGGGGCCCCCACGACCAGCTGGAGACCTGCTCCCATTTGGCTTTCCCATTACTTTCCAATGTAGATGGAGCCATGTGACACCCGGAGTCCATCAGCAGGTAAGATATTATTAGTGCATTACAGACTGTTGTTTTTACTAAATACACTGGAAAACCTAAAATAATATGCTTATCTCAAATAATTTAAACTCAAGGCTTTCAACTTCTTTGCACAGTTCCTTATTTCCCTCCTCAGCCAAAGAAGCAGCTCTGCTTTTGAGACTCTCGACTACCATATGCATGCTAAAAAAAAAAAACCAACCAAACCTCTCTTTTTTCCCTATGATTTACATGCCAAATGTGCTTATTTACTCCTAGGTAGAATGAATCTTGTCTTTAATTACTTTTATACCAATTACATGCTTTTAATCTATGGTTTAGTGATTTATCACTTACAGCTGCAGTGAGCAAAACATACATAGGCTGGGAAACACATCCCTTGTGTAGATGGTGCTGTAGGGCCTTTTTAAATCATGCCAACCCCTGTGAGTTACTAAGTAGTTTCTAGGCTTTGAACAAATGAGCACATTTTAGTCAAGGACATCATTGGCAACTCCTTATTAGAAGTATAAAAAGTGTAAAGCTCAGGAAAACTTGTTACAGAAAACGTAAGATCACACACTTTCAGGATTTTGTTCTAACATTCTGTACTGGTTTTAATCTTCCTCTTGTTTTTCTGCCATTGCTTTGAAATTGCAAGTGGGTAAAATTCCTTAAGTCAGGATAGGATGAATTAATTCACGAACTTTCTAGGTACGTGGATTTAAGGTTTTTTTTGACTGATTTCTAGTATGTCAAAATCCTACACTTGTATTGCTCTCCCCTTCAGAACATGGGAAAATGACAGCATTAAAGAATTAGTCCCCAGAGCGTTATTATCCACTTCCAACTGATGGGGTACAAAGAGGCTTGATGGCTTCTTCAATACACTGTGGTAAAGCTGGGAAAGGAGTCCAGATGTCCTGGTCCCTCATCCTGTCCCTGAACCACAAACCACACGTCCTTGCCTTATTAGCGACAATCACAGCACATGCAAACAGACTATTTATATCTAAATATTTCATCTGTTCTCACTCATTATTCCCTAACTCACCAATGTAATTGTGCTGGCAAGGAGACAATCCCAGTGAGAGCAAACAGATTGTTAGGTTTTCTGCTGAGATGCAAGCTGCAGAAGACCAACTCCCAAACAACTGAGATCAAAAGGACCGTGTTTCCATTGAAACATCCTTGGTCGTGCAGCAGTGGGACAGAAGGTTTCATAACATCTTCCTCGGCCGACTCTGGCAGCTGCATTAAAAGGACTGATCAAGAAGGGTTAACTTGGAAAAGAGTATTAGCCCAGAATGAGTTTAGCCAAAAAGAAAAAAACACCCCAATAAAAAGGGGCTTTGGAAAGTTCTGATTTTTGAGTATCATGGGATATTTAACACTCCTCCGAGTTTGCATAACAAGCAACTTTGGACAGAAAAATAAGACGACTGTGCAAAACAAATCCAAGATTCACATTTCATAAATATTGTTCCAAATTGCTTCAGTGATTACATCTTCTCTGATTAGCAAAAATCATGCTCAGTGTGGTGAAACACTTGCTTCCATGTATGGGGAATACCAAGGCACCTTGGGCAGGACACAGAAGTCACTGAGGATCCTGCTGCTGAAGTCAGCGACACCACATTTCACTCTATATAAGGCTGCCTCATCCCAGGACAGAAGTGGCAGCTGCAGTCTGCCTCCCAGATGCAGACATTGTAGATATACAATGTGCACAGTCCTTTTTATTTCCCAGTGACAGGCAGAAGCGTGGTTGTGTTTGTCAGCATGTACACAACACGTACACTGGTCCTTCTCCACAGGATACTGGAGTTTATCACCATAAAGCTTTAGGTTACTAATTCCAACCAGATTTAGAGCAAAGGCTGAGAGTACAACATTGATTCATAATGTTCAGGTTTCAAAAACCAATCTCCAATTAACAGGAATATTTTGGCTGGAGTTTTCTGTCTGCTGACCATGCACTCCCAAATGTGGAGCACAACCAGTTGTATCTGAGAGCGCTGGAGGGAGAAGGCAGCTAAAGAGCTCTGTGTTTTCATCTATTGCTAAGCCAGAAATACTCCCCTGTACATGTGCTCTTTTGTTCTCTCTTGTGCAGTGTTGGGTGACCTGGTACAGTCCCTGTACAATCGTGAAGCCCTCTGTTGTTTGACACCACGAGTGATATGGGCACCATAACCTCTGTGTGGCCCTGGAGCTGCACAGGAATGATTTCCTGCTCTCTGCAAAGGAAGATGCCTTCAGATTTTGTTAAATGATAACAAATAAGGAAAAGGAGGCCTCCCCTAGTTGTAGCAATCCTATCCCTCCCACCGGGCTTTCCTAGAGGTGGCAGAGTTGAAACTCCCAGGTTTTATTTTCAGAACATGATCATTTCTCATTTTGATATTTTAAAGTAAACAATTCCTGGTTCCCATGTATTATTCAAGGAGAGAGAAGTGGGTATCCAGTGCATAGATAATCAAACATCCAGCCTGCACCAGAAAACCTTCTCAAATCACTTGAGAAACTTCCCTATTGCTGTTGTTATCATTCTCCATTCACTTCCTCCAATTATCCAACACTTCAAACATCGTATCCCATGTTTTCCCCACAGCTGTGGGGTGAAGCAAGCAGGAGCTGTGTTCCTTCCACCTCCCCTGAACAGTGCTTGCCTACAGGAGAAGAGAGGGAGCTGCACAGATGTTTCTGGTATCACATTAATACAGAAACAACCTGTTGAATGTAGACTTGTTTTCAAACCTTTCAGTGAGAAAATATCGGTTTCAGAGAGAGGAATTAATGATTTTAACCTGCCTATCATGTTCTTTCATTGCCAGCACATAAAATCATTACTGGTGTTTCAAGCTGCAAGTAGTAATGTTGAGGATATTTTCATTACTGCCAAAACATTTACATGAAACTGCTATTCAGATCAAATTATCTTGGAACTGCAAAGCGTGCGTGGATTCCAAATTATCCAACTTGGAGTGGTTGCTGCATATTGAAATTACACAGCACAAACCAGCAAAACTATTGCTTCAGATTCACAGGAATGGCAAAAAAATAGCTCTTAAAAGAATTCTTGTCCTTAAATGCAGTACTGTTACAGACACAGGTTTTTGGCTGTATTTAAACCAGTATTTCACTACCAGAAAAACAGAGCTTTGCACTCTTTGAGCCTGCTTGGTCCTGACTCTTGTTTCCACAGCCCTTTAAACATGAGCAGCACTGCCCAGAGACAACAGTGGCACGGAAGTGATGCATTAGGAAACTGAAGCACAGAAGGTGAAGAGCTGGGACTGTTTGGGGAATGACAAACTGAAAGCGTGAATTCCAAAAATGCAGTGAACTGCCAGAGGTGCTCAGTGCTGGGAGGATCCTATTAACTATCTCACACTTACCTTTCAGCAACACACCAGTTACGGAAAAGACTCCAAAACATCACCAAAAAGAGGACTGGGCAATACTGTGAATTTCAAGTCTTTGATGAACCAGCATTCCAGGTATTTTGATGTGTATTCCTTTGTATAATGTTCTAAATACCATTACTGTGCTGCTTTTCAATAAGGATTCTGTGCTGCAATGAAAGAATCATATGGCCACGTTAAAGATGTCCCTAAGGAAACTGTGCTTTCCTGGAAAAACCACAAAGGTAATTTTCCAAGAATCACAGGAAGGATTGTCTAATTTAGCAACACAGGTAAGGGATCATTTCTCTTTAGCAGAGAGGGGATGGACAGATGAAAACACTATATGCAGGAAAAACTAAAAACTTCTAACAGCTAGAAAAGAGTTTACAAAGGAAAGTGAGGGCTGTAGGAGGAATTCCTCACACCTGTGAGGAATATTGAGTGTGGCACTGGAGCAGAGTCCTTTGCCCTTTTGGTCCCTGATAAGGGGAGATTAACATCTAAAATTTGTGTGCTTTTTCCGTGCAAGTTTGTAGTTGATTTGTTCCCATTCCTTCAGTGAAATATCCTGAAAAGCAACAAAAAAAGCAATAGGGTAAGACAGGTCCCCCAGATGTGGTGAGGAGTGTTCAATGGGTGTTTGTCTGCAGCAGGAAATAACTGCCTGTGTGCTCTTGCACCGGGCTGTGTTTTATCGTGGCATCAAATCACAGTGATTTCGGCATTAACTTGATACACAGATATTCTCTGCTGCTGGGTGTCCTGGGTGTAAGTCACAGATAAGGCATCCTGTCTGGAACAATCTGGTATGCTTCTCTGGGAAAGGGAAAAGGAATTAAAGGAAGGACCATACTGTGAGGAAAGAAATGCTAATGATCTCTTCAGGGGCTGTGCTTTTCCCAGTTCTTTTAATGTGCATGCAGTGACAGATCCGCAAAGTAGAATATACAGAAGAAAATGCACAGTGCCCACATTCCAATTCATAGTCACCCTCTGTGTTTTCCATGGTATTTTCATTACTTGGTGAGATGTCCGTGTCCCCAAACACAGGTACAGAGTAGTACAGGGTGCAAAGCCAGAGCTCTGAGAATGCTTGAGCTGGTGAAGGAGTGACAGCCACATCACCCCTCACTGTCTGCAGGACTGCTGATGTGGTAGGTCTGGCAATGCTCTTGATGGCACCTGGGAGAACAGGGGGACATGGTTTCCCACATCATCATCTTTGTTACAAGCTCTTGAGGCTTCTTTGTCCTCCACCTTAAAGACAAAGAATTCTGAATTAGTGGCTTTGATTCGGGAGGGCATTTCAACACCTAATTTAAAGCATCAGATGAGCTCCAGTGAGTACAGGAAGTGTGGGGGCAGTCAGAATCACACAAGCACATATGTAAATATTTCCCTGGATGAGGCTTCAAGTTGCATTTGGGAAAATGGGCAGTTGGAGAAAAAGAAGAATTTCTTTTCTTTTTTTTCCCCAACAGCATTTAACTTCATTTTTCTTAAAGCAGGGATGTGTGAAAAGCTGCACTGTTGCAGATAAAAGTATATAAAACGTGGTAGATTAAAGATTTGGATATTGATTTCTCAGGAGACCTTTTCCAGTCTAGACTCTATTGACATATCCTGCCAATTTGTTTGTCTGGTCTCCCTGTGAACATAACATTTGATACTGCAGGCAAGGTAAAGATCTTTGATAAGCTTGCTGCTTCCTGTGTTCACAATGCACTTTTGAAACACAACTTAGAGCTCCTCTGCATCACCCCCATCTTGCATGTTTTCACCATGTGCTTTCATGCTTTTCATTTGTGTACCCTGTACCTTCATCCCGTGGTGGACCATTCCCAACTTTCAAATCTCCCATGAAGAGGAGGCAACACCCCCTCATCAGGTTTACCCTCTGCATGGTGGACACACACTGCTGAAGTGGTAGGAGTTGATTGTGATCTTGCTTGTTACCTGTCTTCACCCTTTGGTAGCTATTTGTACCAGTGCCAACAAACTGGAGACTTGGATAGGGACTGAACATAAGAAATTCAAGGGATTTCCACCAGAAAGATTCCAGAAACTAAGCGGATCTTCAGGGGGTGATGCTGACTCACTAATGGCACTTCTTGCAGTGCCTTTATTGCTTTTTAGTTAAGCACACAATGAGTCTCTATAATTAAGCCACAGGCATAATATGGGACAAAAGGCACATATGGCTTTTTTTCTGTTTTTAATTTTCTTCCTTGTAGTTATTACTGGGCCCACTCTAGTGGCAACAAGTAGACATGACGAACAGTTGTGCTCAAATTTGGCCATTTCAGATGAATCTGTAAAATTCATGCTAGTTTCTGAAATACCATCTTTATTGCGAGTTACATAAAGCACATTTTTTTCTAAATGCCTTTGTTAGTCCAGATATTTTGGTTTGAAAAAAAAAAAAAAAAGGGAAGAATATTTGAAATTCAAATTAAAAAATGACCTGACAGTAAATATATGTGTGTTGAAATTTAGGGAGACCAGGTCAGTCATCCACAAGGCAAGCCATCTCTGTTTGGAAAAGTGTCTTTATGCCCTCCCCTGCATGGAATGAATGGAGTTCAAAGTCATGTAACCCAGTTGTGGCAAACAATCATCAGACCAAATATCCAGACCTACTCAGGTTAACTTCCTGTGAAGAGCCTATTATCAAAACAAAACCCTAAAGCACTAAAGAAATCCGTTCTTTTAGGAATATTTGTTTCTGTACCTTGATACTGTGATCTCCCCAAATGGCAGAAATGTTCCCATTTTCTTTAGCAGTGTGGCTTGCTAGGAATAACCTGCATGTATCCTTGTGTGTATCTGGCATTAGCAAGTGCTTCACACCCTGAAGTTCCCCCGGGAAGCTTGCTTCCCCTGGCTCGTAGCAAGCTTCCAGGAAAATCAGTTTGTACTACAGATGTAGAGGAGTCTTTGTCGAAAGGAAATTCCTCCCAAACCACGGATAATCATTATCCATTCTGAATGACCTAATTATCTTCTGCTTTTTTTTATTGTGTGGAAAAAGAAACGAGGAGTTTTCTCGCCAAGTCCCTCAGAAGTGGCCGAAACGCTCCGTGTCTAACGGAGATCACGGAATGGCCGCTGTCCCATTGTCCAGCCTGAGTGCCTGGGCTCCTAAGCCAGACATTAAAGTGAACAGAACCAATTAGCCCCTGCTCACAATGGCAAAACCAGCTGATGTTCCCTTCACTTGAAACAATGGGAGGACCTGCACGGGCTGTGTAACTCCTTCCAGAGTGGGACCGTGAGAAAGTGAAGCCCGTAAATGGCCTTTCAGTGGATGAACTCCTGAGCAGTCTTTCATACTGTGAACTCATCACTCAGCTGTCTGGGGGTGGTTTTCTTTAGAAAATCCCGGTTCAAATGCAACATGCCAGTTTTCAGTGATAAACCCTTCTGCTGAATGATATTCTGTCTCAGCACTGTGTTTACCCCAGTATGGATTTATTCAGCAGCATCTTTTCCCTCCAGCCCTCTTTTACATTCCTTACCATGCTTGTTCCTCTTCCTAATAATCATGGAATAGCAACAACCACCGATGAGAGTGTGGCAAGAACTGAATGTTGCTCCTAACAATGGCAGTGAGGCTTCATTTAAGATTTGGATGCTGAGAGAATTCAAGCAAAGAAGCTGATGAGATCAGAAATTCAGCCCTTCCATATGAATTCAGTAACTTACTTCCTCTTGACTACTTTCTCCTCCACCTATTTGGAATCTTGCCAAGACACCTAATCCCTGGATATCCAGAACTCAGCTCCTGGTAGCAACAAGGCTGAGTCCGAAAAATGACTGCTCTTCAGAGCTGCTGTACAGCACTGTGTCCCTTCCCACCTGGAATGTCTTCCAAGCATCTTCAGGCAACAGTTCATCCCTTGCAAGTGTGAAGTTCTTTGAAACAACAAGACCTTTGCTAATGGCAAGGCACAGGTGCCATGAACTTTGGGAAAACAATCCACAGTAAACAGGACCATCTACTTCATTCAGTACCTCTGGCAAGAGTCTGTTGCCTTGGTTGCCAGCTGATGCTGTGAATTTCCTGTAGGCAAACATTCCTTATGAGCATCATTTCTCCTTCCCCAGCTGCTGCATTTCCCTGCAGTTCAGCTCAGTCTGGACACCACAGCTCCAGAGGTCTGACTCCTGCCTGGGCAGGCCTGTTGCCAGCCACCTGCAGCTCGATGGTCTGTTGCTTTCTGAATCTGCTTCCTAAAAATCAATCTGAACTCAAATTAATTATTTCATGACTAAGACTCACTAATTCCTTTGCAATAACTAACAGTGAAGTCATCTCAGTACAGGATACTTGGAAGAATGGTAGGACTTTGTGGTCATTGAAATGTAACTATGAGGTCTCCCCAGAGTGCCACTGAAAGAATGAGGAGACAAAGACAAAGAAGGGCCATTTCCTTTATTATCCAAGAGATGGTACCAGAGAGCCCCTACCTCTGGATTATTTGTCTATCCAGTGGCCTGGGTGAAACAACTACTCAGATTCACTAGTTTTATGGTCATTCTTCTCTTGCTCACCAATAGATGGGAGCAGAGATTTCTCGACTCATGAGATTTTCAGGCTACAGCACTTGCAGTTTTTTGAAGACTAAAAGAGGCAAAAAAAAGAAAACCAAACAGTGACAATATAACTCATTCATGTGTCCACAGGGAGAAGGACATTGTTTTCTTTAGTGGCATACAAATGAGGGTTGTAATGGGACTCAAATGGAAACCAGGAGTCAGCACTCTTGAATTCTTTAACCTTGGGAATCTCTGGTTTGGTATCTAGCGCTGGTCAAAGGTATTTAATATGTTTACAACCCCTCATTGTTATTTCCCAGATATAAGTGTGTTTTGCTTGGATCCAAGCCTTTACAAAAGCAAATAAACATGTCCTAAACTTCCATTCATTTTTCTTACAAGATCAAAGAGGAAAAGCTGTCCAGAAGTAAAAAGCTAAGCCTCTAATGAGATGATCAGTGAATTGTTTCTCTCTTGTACTATAAGCATTTAAATTACAGTATTGCACTTAGGGCACTCTGCACTTCTGACTGGTGTAGCAGGATCCAGACAAATCACTTCAGAAATTAGCTTTCAGCATAGGTCCCTGGCCTCTGACCTTTCATCAGAGACAAGCCAAATGCTGGCTATTAATTGTGCCTGGCACTCCTCAAGGGGTGGATACGCCATGAGGAGTTTCCTACCAACAAGAAGCAAAATCTTGGATGGCAGTGGAGCAGCTGCACAGGTACCAGCTGTGTGACACTGCAGTGCCTCTCTGCACTGAGCCCAATGGGGTCTGTCTGTAGTAGATGCTTACCTTGGAGGGGCAGGATGGTCCTGGCACAAAAGCTACAACTAAACCTGCACCGATTTGCAAAATCCCTCATAATCGACAAGATTCATGAAGGTCCTGAGTCACTGACTCAGGGAGGTGCCAAAACCTTTTTATAATCCTGTGCTGTTAAACTAGAAAATGCTTTTTTAAAACCTATTTACTGATATGAGTTTGCATAGCTTGGGGTTGGTTTGTTAGGGGGAATTTTGGTTAATTCATAGTGGGAATATAAAAGATCTTGGCTTTGAACTGCGTTTCTCAGCTTTTTTCATGTCATTTGCTTTACTCCAGGGGATAGATCTCTCCAGCTGCCTTTCATGACATGGCCTGAAGCAGGGGTCTGAAGTGATTTTTTTTTTCCTTCCCTTCTGGCAGTAACCCTGCCAGATACAGATACCACTGGTCTTAACTAGCACAGCCAGAGCTGAAGTTGCCAAGAACTCTGGAAAAAAAAAGGGAGGAAAACAAAGTCAGCTGACTGCATGCCAAGGAGGGGGTATTTTGGAAGTTAAAAACTCTGATTTGTAGTTTGGATGCATTTGGAATTTATCAAAGCCACGTCTTCATTCTAGTAATAAGCTCTACTAAAAACCAAAATCCTCTACATAAAACTGGCTTTTGACTTCCTAATTTAACAACAGCAGCCTTTCTGAAATTATAGGTTCTGTTACTGTCGAGTTAAAAATTAAAATTAAAACCTTATCCTGCAAGAGGGAGGAGTTTCACACCTTTTTATACCTTTCTATAATAAGATGGGGGAGGAGTTGCACAAAATCCCCCAACAAAACATCAGATTAAGATACTGTGGTGATTCAAAATTTAAGTATGTAATGAAAGGGAATGCATCTTACCCAGCTTCAGCTGACTGGGACGCAAGAATTAACTATTTGTCCTACCCTGTCGAGGCAGAAAAACAGGTACCTCTGGAGCCCTCTCCACATGATGCTATGGAGGGAATTTTTTACCCTGTGGAGAAATACCAGGGTATTTCCTATGGAAATTCCCTATGGAGAAAGCCGAAAGAAGCAGCTTCGACTCAACGCCCAGCTTTTAGATGCCTAAACTGAGGTGAGTTGAGTCCTGTCCCTGCTTAAGTGGGACCAGCTTTTTTGGAGTAATAGTTTCTCTTGAAATTATATCAGTGGGAGTATTGGTCCTAAACTGGACAATCAGGCAAGGGAGTGAAGACAGCTCCCCGTGACGTGATGCAAAGTTCAGCTCGTGAGTATCGGCACTGTGCCTGCGCTCGCGCAAGGAAAAGGGATCCACTTAATCACATGCTCTTTTTTTCATGTACAGAAACATGATCTATGAGACAGAGCTAATGCATAAAACTCAAACCCTTAGCACAAGTCTTTGGTTTTTCCTGGGCTACAATTTATTCAGCACTGTGGAGGAGTATGGCTCCTATTACACATCAAAAGTCTTTCGCAGGGAAACACTTGGCTCCAGATTATCACTGTGAAAGCCACACATTCCCGGCCCTCTGTGCCCCCTCTGATCCAGAGCAAGCAATGCCCAAAGGCAGTTGTGGCACTGCTGTGAGGAGGCTGCCCCACTCCTGTGCAGGGCACCGGAGCAGGAGCTGCACACGGGCCGGGCTGCCCCACTTGGCAGCACGTGCTTCCACTCCACTGCCACACAGGCATTCCTCCTGCTCTGCCAGCCAGCTGCAGCTCCAGGCCCAGCCTGGGATTTGTGGTGAGGGGATTTTGCTTTGACAGCCCAATGTCATTTTGTTTTTACATAATCAGCCCTTTTTGTTATAAGCTGTGGGCTTCAGATAACAGCAGCGAAAAACTATTTCAAGTGGGAGCAGCACCCTGGGTACAGAGTGAGACAGAAAACAGTCAGAAAAACTAAATATTTCTTGTTTCTTGTAATCACCTGCCCTACAGCAGTCAAATGTTGACAAGTGTTTGCTGATAACTGGCTTGCAGGAAAGACGAAGTGAAAGAGAACAGCAAGAGAGGGGTTTTTTGCATTTCTGATAAACCTCTAGTTATGCCCTTCAATGACAGTTTTGCCAACAGCAAAAAAGTAAGACAAATTTTTGCAGTCTGAGGTGTCTGGAAGCAAACTCACACATTTCTTCCCTGTACTAGGCTTTTGTTTGGAGAACCTTTCCATCTGGATGAGTAGCGGGAACAGGAAAGCATCTGAAGCTGGGAAAACTACCATCCTGCTGTCTATAAAGCACTGATAGGATTTTTATGTGGAGCCCTAAAGAGAGTGACACACAGTGCTTTTATTTTGCCAAATGCGAGAGCTCAGATGTTTGCAAGCAGAACAAAATAAGCTGAGGCATTGAAAGCCCTTCCTGAAATGTGCCTGGTGGCTGATGCCGTGGCCCGTCCCCCAGCACATGCATTGTGCAGGCTCTGCCTCATGTGGACCCCTGGGCACAGCAGCACCACCACTGAGATCCTGCTCATGGCACCCCCTGCACAAAGGGGAAGGTAATTAGCAGAGAAATGACTATTGGCGCAGCTAGAAAGTAGACAAGTAATCCTTTGGGGTTTAGTTCATTGCCTCCTTGTTTTCAAACCAGCGCCTAATCTTCCCAGACCCCACTCCCTGGCTGCTCCTTTCTTCCTTTCTGTTCTCCTTCCCCCTTTTTGCAGGGACTATGGCTTATTCTGATTCACTCCGTTTCTTTCTTCCCCAACAGCCACAGGGCAGCCTGGCTGTTGCCAGGGATATAGTAAATGCATGTGACACGGGGCCACCAACAACAATCGAGCGAGTCACACTCATTCCTGGTGTAACGGCGCTGGAATCGGCACAGCCAGGCTGGGAGCTGGACAGCCCAGCTATGAACCTGGATAAAGAGTTTTCTTTAAGGAAAGTGCTCTTAAAAATAGCTTTCGGGGAGAAATGTGCAGGTTTTACTTGTAAAATGGCTGTTGGCAAAGGATTTGTTGCCAAACTCCAGTCAGAGCACTAGTGAGAGGTGGTAAACATGCCATTCTGACAAGGAATTAGCAGGCAGCATAGCACTGGGGAAAATATTACGACTTTCTTCTTCCCTGACCTGAAAGAGCCTGTTAGGAGATTAGGAATCTCCATCTCTCAAAGGTATAGCTGTTTTACCAAAATTTAATTAATGAAGAATAATATTTTGGGAACAAGAGAAAACACCTCTGTAGGATGTGGAGTGTTAGGAATACATGGAAAGTTGCCTGTATAAACAGTTCAGCAACTCTGGGATAAATTATAGGAGCATTTGTATGCATGATTGCCCATCTGTGTAAAACAAGACGTGCAGCCACAGACAGGAATGATGTGCAAGGCAGACATGGGGCTGATGTTAACTTGATCCAGAACAGAAGATCTGTCCCATCACATCTGAGTTTGACCCAAGGAAGTTTAGATAAATCTAAATAAGTAAATAAATAGAGGAAGAGGCCTCAGTGAGAGGAAACTCAAGGTATGCTATCTATGAATCTGTTTCTGGGTTTGGGGTTTATTTAGACTCAAGTCAGATTTTGGACTGTTATTTCTCCACTTGAAGGTTTTTTGGCAGTTGCAGGAGGGCCGAAGGCTCAGATCCAGCGTGTTCCTTCCAGCTGCAGGCCCAGTGCAGGCCACGGGCACTGGCAGGGGTGTGGTGAGCTGGAGGGCTTCAAACCAGGGATGCTGTCAAGAACTCTGCCTTCCACAGCTCCCCTCTCAAGCACCAGCTGCAAAATGTCAACACCACCTTCCTCAGAGAACACAATTAATTAAACCAGGCTTAATTAATTAGTGTCAGTAAAGCAGATGTAGCAGTTATGGTGGAAGTAAACAAATGTACATATTGTAAATTATCATCTTCTCTGCAAAGGATTTGGTCTGAAATCCCTGTGGCCATTTCACTCCTCCCCACGATGCTATTGGGGAGGCCTCTGGGAAACATGCAGAGATAAACTGCTAATTGATGAGGAACTAATATACTTCTATAGGTTTGTATCTCAGAAAAACAATCAGCAAATAGATTTGTTTATTAACCCCTTTGGACTTGTTGGTGAAATACAATCCTGATATGTAATTTCCATATCATGCAACATCACGTGCCACAAATAGGTCAATCGTTTAAAGTCTTGGGAGTTTTATTTGAAATGTTTTACACTTGAAAATCCAACTGAGGCTTTTGTATCATCTACCAGTGCTGTTCTTTGATAGAGCAGGAGAAAAAGTGTTTCATATACAGGTAATAATCAACTGTGTATCTTGGTCTGAGTGTGTGTTCACTGGAGCAGATTTTGGCCTGATTTTGCCCTACTGAGAGTGAGGAAAAATGATGCTAAACTTGGGTTGGTTACACTGAATGTAGCCTGATGTGAGTAAGGGAGAGCATCATAACCCCACTGACCCAATATACACCTCCCCTGAGGCAAAAGGGACACCTTTTATAACGTCGGTAGGTGCTGATGCAATGACAGCATTCATCCCTGCGTTGGAGGTTGAGATCAAGGGAAAGAAAAGGGGAAAAAAATTGGTGGGATAATGAAACACCAGTAACTAGTGATTGTGAAGGTATTTATTATATGTGTCTGTGCAGTTGGTGTTCTGTAAAGCTGAATGTGAGTGTGAAAAAGCAGATGTGGAGCCACTCCAGTCTGGAGCCTTTAGAAGGAAAGTGAAGTAAATCTCTCGTGCCCTGTAGATATGAGGACAATGCAAACTCAATATAACGGGCACTGTACTAGTGAAGCACACTTGGAAAATGCAGATAGAGGAGGGATACTTTACTAGGGTACAGTCATCTCCCTAATTCATGCTGTAAAGAAACCACGAAGGGGGAAAAATTCCCCTTGTCCTTGGTGATGACTCAATGGATTAATGTAGGCAGCAGCATATGGGCAGGGTGCTGTGAGAGGTAAGCTGCAGTCAGAGGCCACTACTCTTCCTGCCACTTAGCCTGTGTGATTCCCCTTTCCCCCGCCAGGATACTGATATCAATTAGTCTCTGTGGAAACAGAAGTTTCCGTGGCCCATGCCAAGGTATCCCCTTTCTTTCTTCAGCTGACAGCAATTCCTGTGCACAGGACTGCCCAGTGACGGGCTGTGTGTGAGGGACGCTGCTGCAGGGTACGGGCTGTTCCACCAGGGACCGCAGGTGAGTGCAGGGCCCTGCTGGCACCTCTGTGGGCTTCCAGTTTGGTGTTATGTGCTTTGTGCTTGGGGTACTTCTCGTCCGTCCGTGTGTCCGTCTGTTCGTCTGTCTGTCTGTGTGTCCGTCCATCTGTCTGTCTGTGTGTCTGTCCGTCTGTCTATCCATGTGTCCGTCTGTCTGTCCTTGTGTCTATTCATCCGTGTGTCTATCCGTCCATATGTCCGTCCGTCCGTGTGTCCATCTGTTCGTCTGTCTGTCCATCTGTCTATCCATGTGTCCATCCATCTCTCTGTCCTTGCGTCTATTCGTCCGTGTGTCCGTCCGTCCACATGTCCTTGTCTGTCCATCCGTGTGTCCGTCCGTCTGTGTGTCCATCCATGTTTCCGTCTATTTATGTGTCCGTCTGTGAGTCCATCTATCCATCCGTGTCTGTCCTTTTGTCTGTGTGTCCGTCCATCCATCCATCCCTCTGTCTGTCTGTCTGTCCATCTGTCTGTCCGTCCACCTGTCCATGTCCGTTCATCCCTCTGTCCATCCGTGTGTCCATCCCTCTGTCTGTCCATCTACCTGTCTGTCCGTCCATGTGTCTGTCTGTCGGTGCGCCCGTCGGTGTGTCCGTCTGTGTGTCTGTCCGTTCGTCCGTGTATCCATTTGTCTGTGTGTCTGTCTGTCCGTGTGTCCATCCATCCATCTGTCCGTCCATATGTCTGTCCATCCATCCGTCCATGTGTCCATCTGTCCGTCCGTCTGTCTGTCTCTGTCCGTCTGTCCTTCTGTGTGTCTGTCCATCTGTCTGTGCATCTGTCTGTGTCTGTCTCTCTGTCTTTGTGTCTCTTTGTCCGCGTGTCCGTGCATCTATGTGTCTGTGAGTCCGTCCGTCTTTCCGTCTCTGTCTGTCAATGTGTCTGTCCGTCTCTCTGTCCATCTGTGTCTCTGTCCATCTCTTTGTGTGTCTGCCTGTCTTTCTGTCTGTTCATCTGTCTGTCCATCTCTGTGTGTCTGCCTGTCTTTGTGTCTGTGTGTCTCTGTCTGTCCGTCTTTGTGTGTGTCCATCCTTCTGTCCCTGTGCCTCTTTGTGTCTGTGTGTCCATCTGTCTCTCTGTCCGTCTGTCTCTGTGTGTCTGCCTGTCTTTGTGTCACTCTCTCTGTCCATCTGGCCCTGTGTCATGTCTCAAAATAACGTTTCATATCTCCCTTTTTAATTCTCTCAGAACCTGAATTCTCCCCTTTTAAATCGCACGCAGGGCTTTTGTTCTTGCTCTTCTCTCTCATTTAAAAAATTACTTTTTTGTTGCTCTTTGAATGCATCTTAGAGAGGTTTTGCAAGACAGCTTTGCCAGCAGCCAGCTACACTGAGCTTTCTGGGATCTGAGCACCTACCCAGGCAATGGTAACTTTGCATTTAATCGTCAATGACAGGTTTTGCACGAACACAAAATACAAGTAATTCTCAGGAACTTAATGCACTAAAAACTAACCAGCTCTCCATAACATCTTGTCCTTTTTTTGTAACCTTGTTTTATATTCTGGATAACACTTAAAAGTGTGTGGGGGGGCAGCCCAATTGAATGCAATTGAGGCAGTTGAATGCAATGCTCCGATAACAAGTAACTAAAGATGTAACTAAACAATACGATCTTGAAAAAGTCATTGGTCAGATCGTATGACCTCTACTTATACAGGAATTTCTGAGAGCGAGTCCAGCACGTTAGTGTGTTACAGAGTCCGAGTACTTCTGCAGACCTTGTATTAGTAGATGCCCACAGGCATCACCTCTCCTGCCTCTTCCCATTTGCCAGTCCTCGTGCTGTACCCACGCCACGCTGGCAGTGCCTTTCCAAATCTCTGCTTTTTCAGTAGTCAGTGAATGAGAAGCCAAAAGCCAACGGGCTGAAATGTGGAGGCCCAGCAGGGTGCTGTGGCTGCAGCCTTTGCTACCTGCCTGCAGGAAGCTGAACAGGTTCCATCCTCCTGTCCTGTATGTTAACTGGCCCGGCCTCTCCAAGGAGAGGCAGCAGCATTGATTTACTGCACTGTATAAATGTGTTTATGGCTTGGCACGAGCACACTTACACTCGCTATTTTCCAACGTGGATTTCCAATAAGCCCTTTGCTCAAATGAGTCTATTAAATTTAGAGTGCCTGAAGCTAAAACTGAATTCTGAGAGGTAGCTTTGGGGGTTGAAGCCCAAAACAGCTGGGAAAGGCTCCTGGAGCCTTCTGTTAGTGCCTGTTGGGGTTGATATTTATATTGAGCAAAAATAATTGAAGAAGTTAAAGCAATCTTGGCAGAACACATTGCCTCAGCCTGAGCTGCCTTTTTACTTCAGCTGGCACTCAGACGCACACGATTCCACAGGGTTATTAGAGCAGCTCCTGAATTAAGCCAATGTGAAATCAGAATATGACCCATTCCTTTCTCTCCTTATGGACTCAATTTCCAGTAGTCCCATTTCCCTGTCTCTGCAGTGGGGTACAATAGCCGGGGGAGAAGCCCATCCAACCGTGGTCCCTCCCTCATGGGTGTGTTTTGGTCTCTGGTGTTCCTCGGGGCTGGAATGCAGTTCCCTCCCCTCTCCCAGCCTGGAGCTGTCCTTGGAGCCTGTCAGTGCTGCCCTGCTCACTGCTGTGACACTGTCATGTGTAACAGCAATTACCATCCCTGCAGGGACAGGAAATGGAGCAGAAAGTTTTAGAGGACCCCCAAGTACAATCCATAATTACCTATACCTGCTCAAGATTATGTCTCTCCAGCTAAGGAATAAGGCTGATTTCTAGTTGCTAGTAGTTGGGCTTTACTTGGAATCAAAAAGGAATGCCTTACTACCCATGGAGGAAAAAAAAGAGATTTGTAGAGAATGGGATTAAATTAAAGAAAGTAGAGTTTAGGATGAACTCTAGGGGTAAAAATCTATAGTAAATCTACTGAACTGTGGAATGATCTCAAGTGAGCAATGGAGCCTCACAGTGTGAAGAAATAAAATGATATCTGCCAAAGCCTTGGGAAGGCAATGTCTGGGGAGGCAGCATGGCCTGGCTGTGGCAGTGCAGGAATTGTGGGTATTGGGATTGTACATTGTACATCCACCGAACCTACACTTGTCCTGTATTAAAGTCTGTGTGTATTTCTCAGGTAGGTACGACCTGCATAGCTTTAAATCCTGCCTCCATTTAAACTAATGGGAATCGTACAGGCTAACTGAACAGGAAGCCACCAGAGCACACCAGTGACTCTGGCTGTCCCACCCTCAGCACATGATGCCTTAAAAATTCTTCAGACCTACATGAGTTAGAACGTGGTTATTACTGGATATTTCTGCTTAAGAAGTCTCCTCTTGGTTTTACAATTATACATAGCATTCAGCTCTAGTACATACGGGTAGAAAAGAAGACACAAACCAAAAGCATTTCTCTCATTTGCTGGAAGGAGAGAAAAATACAACTGGACTTGTTACAGAATCAGAACTAAGTAGAATTACTTTGCTTTTTTTTTTTTCCCATGGAGTTTGTTCAGTTTCTGGCAGATAACAAGGAAGCATCTCCTGATCTGTAGCCGTCTGGGGAATCCCTTTTCTAGAGGAAAGAGAAGTTGGGGAGGAAGAAGGTTGGTGGGCTGAGTCCTGAACCTGACCTAGAGCTGTGCCAAGAAATCCATGTGCTGTGTTTGAGTGCCCTGGGCCTTTGTAGGTAAGCAGGATTGCTTCAAAGATATGTGGTGACAATACCAATTTTCCTTTGTAGTGCAGAATACACGGAGCCCCTGGATTTTGTCCAGCCACTTAGACTGAGGCACTCAGTCGCCTGTCTCTGGCTCCCTGGCACCGGCCACAAGGCAGTGCTGACAGGCTCTTTTCAAAAAGTCTCATGGTTTGGGTCTGTTCAGGAAAAAAGTGCCTCTTGCCACTCACCAGATATGCTGGAGGGCTCAAAACATAGACATGGAAAAGCAGTGGCCATAGCTACTGTCCTGGCTCCTCCCAGATGTTGGCTTTTCCATTCTTTGAGTTAAGACTACTGCTGCTTCCTCTACCAGAATGAGGTCAGTGCCATTTATATTTGTCTCCTTTTTTTTTAATCTATATTTCTGGAAAGCTTGCCCTCTTGGAAAGTTTATCCCCTCTGATTTTTGCTTCTCCTTGACTAGCCCCACTTGCCTGGTAGCTCCCAGTATTTCCCATCATGACTCAGAGTGGCTGGGGGGGCTACACCGGGGGGAGACCCAAGATCTCAGCGGAGCTGTGCAGCACAGGTTCACCAGGGGTGTCTGATCCAGCCAAAATGTGCATCAGCCCGGGACGCAAGAGGAATCGCTGGGATGGAAGCTGAATCTTTCATCTGCTCTTTGTATTTTCTGCCTTTTCCCTGGGTTTGCTTTCTTCTCTTTTCTTCCTTTGCAATTGTCAGGGAAGCATCTGTGAGTTTCATGAAACAAATGTTGCCCATTAAAACCCCATTGCTGCCTGCCAGAAAGGAAAATGGCATCTTATTTGAAAACAATATGTAATTGTTATTGCTGTCTTGTTGCAAGTTATGCCCTTGAAAAATGTTAGGGACTTATTTAGTAGCAACTGATGCTGAGGAAAAGCCTTACTAAAGCAGAAAATTAACTGTTGCAATATCTTTTACACAGCTTCAAACACCACAATACAAATGCCTGGTCTGTTGTGCTCGTGGATGTGTTTATGATCACTTGGAGGATAAAATACAACACTTTTCCATGATGGAGACTCCAGTCCCAACCAAGAGAGCACAACCACGCCGGTGTAACACTCCTCCTGCAAACACACCACCACCCAGGTACCGCCTGGGGGTCCAGTGCAGAGAAACTCTGCCTGAAAGGACAGTTTTTAACTTAAGCTGGCACCCTCAACACCTGCACTGCCAGGCCGAGCTGCTGAGTCACTTACAGACTGTTAATCTTCTTTTTTAATGTTTCCATCTATTTTGTATTGCCTTTTATTTTACTTTTTTTTTTTTTTTTTAGTTTTTTTGGTATTACAATTAGGATTCGTTAACAGATTTTTACAAAGCAAATTGGGAAACACAGATCTTTTCTCTTGGAAACCCGGCATTAATTTGTGCACACAGCAAAGCCACTCTCTCAGTGGAACTTTAGCTACTGCTTTTCACAGTTACCTGCTATTTTTCAGTGAATATTTTATGTATTGAATGTATTTTTCCCCTTCAGACAAAACATTAAAATCCATTTCTATCATAAATTAGATAAGGGTTTTTATAAACAAATATATAAAAAAATATTTGTTATATAACAAACTGTGGGAGCCAGTGTAAAGGTATTATCCTTCTTGCTTATCCAAGAGAGTTGGGACCTTAATTCCAAAGAGGTGAAATTCCTTGTCACTATAGAAGTTTACTTTTAACTACAGTGCCATAACAAACAGTCACAGAAAAAAAAGCCGTAATAAAGTTTTAGCCAGATTTTCCACCTTGTACTGTTCCTGCAACTATCCCTTTAAAAGTCTAATGAGCTTTTTATAGTAAAAAAACCACAAGTTATTTAGAATTTTAAAATATTTACTGTATAATTTAAAATTATTCTAGTGAAAGCGACTCTGGAAATGCAGCTCTGTGACGGCAGTCTGGGAAATATGGGATAGTGTCCAATACATCCCATTTATTATTGCCAACTGACTCATGTTCCCATGTCATCCCTGGGCACTCAGGCACCATGTTAAACCTCTCGTTCTCTGCTTGCACCATCTGAACCATTTTTATGGTGACAGCCAATGTTTCAGCCAGCACAGAGCATTTCTTCTTTTATGACTTTGAGATGACCTATGGAATGTATGGATCTTTATTACAGAAAAATGTTCTGACTAATTTTAAGAAGTGAAATACAGGCAGAACCGTGTCTGCCCATCTCATCCTACCTTTAATAGAATAAATATGACTGAGTGTAATGGCCAAAATCCCTGACAGCCTCAGGTTTGCCAGCACTGGTTTTCCATGTGCTTTCAGCCAGGGATTGGGAACCTTGGCTGAACGCAGAGCACTTAACGTGCCTCAGATGGTGCCTCAAGATTTCCTGTGCACACGTGAGCAGACAAGCCGTGGTTGGGAAAAGCTTGGGTTTTCCACCTTCCTCAAAACACTGGTGGAAGGGGAATTCTGCCTGTTGTACTCAGCGTGTCAAGCCCTTTGCAGAGGTCCCATAAAGGCACCTCATCGCCTTTGCTGTAACACCTCATAGGCCCTTGTTAACTCTTCTCTTTTATGGTCCTGTAGGTAAGAGTTCATCTGACTGAAATATCCCTGAGGCAGCTGACAAGAAACCTTGAACTGCTTGAATACAAAACCAGATGCCTGTGTTCACTGTGGGGTGACCCTCTGCTCCAGCTCTCTGGAGCAGTGAGGCCAAGCAGTCCCAGGGCAGGCGGGAGACTCGGGAGCGCCGCCAGGCTGATGGAGACCAGCGTTTGTCTGAGGATTATCCTCAGGCCCCTCATCATCACACTTTGGCTTGTTCTGCGTGGATGGGGACTTGATGACAATTCCCTGAAATTTCAATTTGGAAGAAAGAGCTTCATGTTTGACCTTTTCTCTCCAGCGCCGTGTCTGCCTGCCTTGCCCACAGGCTTCAGATGGGTCCTGTTCCCTTCGGTTTAAGGTCCAGATGAGGTAAGCTGGAGTAGCAATGCCTGCTCTTTTTTTCTGGTTTGCTTTTGGCTTAGAGCGTTATCAGGCAGTCCCTGGGTTTAGTTTCTGCATTCGTTTCACTGCTTTCATAAAAGCGGCTCAGCAATTTTGGATGACCGATAAGGAATGAACTTTCTCTCACCCGCAGCTGCTCTGATATGAATTTTTAAAATCCCTCTGTACTGAACAAATGCAGAAGATACTATTGACAATTTTCAAATAACTCAAAGCATTTTCATATATAAATACTCAGAGTTGGAGTTTTATCTGAACATAATCTAAATGCTCTGAAAACTTCCAAAGGCCTCACAAGTATGAAGATACTTTCCTCAAAGTCACAGGAGGATTAAAAGTGAGAGAAAAAAAGACAATACCAAGAAATCAGCTGGGCACTAAGCTCCCCTGCAAGGCTTTAGGAGTGACAGCACTTGAGTCTAAAAACTAGTAACTGAGAAAGGCAACGTAGAGATGGGAATGGAGCAAAGGGCTGCCTTGACAAGAAGCAATCCGGCAACTTTTGACTCTGCTGTGATTTTCTTCCCCCTCCCAAAAAAGAAGAAATAAAAAAAAAGCCAAGTTATTTCAGTGTAAGCATGCTAAATAACTGGCATCTGTCCTGAAATCTTGTAAAACAAATTGTAGCTCTGTGCAATTAAGTTGTCTGGGTAATAGTATCCTCCAAGATTAGACATCTCTAATGGGAGTGTTGACAAGCCCTTCAGTGTAGCAATGCAGTGGTGCCCCCTCAGAGAAAGAAGCAAAGCTCCTGGGAAATAATTAAAGAACATTTTGGTCAGCCTGTGATGCAAATACAGATTTTTCAGGTTATGCAGAAATAAACTGGAAACCCACAGAACATCACCAAAAGAGACTAAGGAAACTGAGTGATGCTTGTCCAAATGGGCCTGAAAGGAAACAAAAAGGCTGGGAAGACAGAGGATAAGAAGGTTTTGGAGTAGCTGTGGTTCAGGAAAATCTCTCCTCCCTGTCCTTCTAATTTTTTATTGTAGTCTGACAGTGGAGACAAAAGTAACCCATCTTTTCATTAATCCTAAACCCTTCTCCTTCATCTGGAAAACTGACATCAATTAAGACTTTGGATTCACATTGTACTAATTCGGAATCTTGCTAGGGAATAGTACTTGCATATCCAAATCTGTTATTTTCACCGGTCTATGCCTCTATTCTGTGTCAAGCAAAGCTTTTCTTGTTACCTTTTAACAGTGCTACAAATAGTAGGGTCTGCTCCTTACCCAGACCATACTTGGCCAGCTCAATACTTCCAGATGTTCCTCAACTCTGTTACTTTTTCCTTCAAGAAGCAAATTTAGTGCAAAAAACATGAAGGAAAACCAAATATTTTAAAATTGATTTCTTAATTGTTGATGGCTATCTAACAAAGCCAACTTTTGGTTATTTTGGCAGTACAGTAAATTTAGGAGGTACCTGTGGGGCATTTCTGGATAAGAAAACAGTCAAACTTAAATCAAGACCTGAAAAATTAAGAGTCATAAACTACAGGGGGGAGCCAAGTCACGAAGTCTCTTCTTTCTCTCCTTTCCCAGTCTTCTTCATACAGCCATGATTCACTGAGGGAGTGTTTTGAACATTTCCACAACTGCAAGCGTTTGGGCGGAAGGAATGGGTGAAGGAAATGTATTTTAACAATTAGCCAATACATGGTGGTCTCTCCTGAAAAATTAAAAAGCAAGAAGTAGATACATCCAAGGCGTGAAAAGGAGAGAGGATGTTTAAATCACTTTTATAATTTTTTTGTACATGCTGATGTTGAAAACAGTATTGATTAATGATACAGTGTTTTTTTCTTATGTACCCTAGAATCCCTAATTAGTGCTTGAGCCACCTGAAGGGATTATTTAATTTTTAAATAATTTCTGCAGCGAAATGAGGAGATCCCATGTCGGCTGCATGAGCGTTCTTGCCATTGCCCGTGGCTGGAGTTGTGAGTTTTCTGTGTCATGGACCATCGTGAGAGAAAACCATGTGCTGAGGGAGAAACCCAGCAATGAAGGAGTAAATAGCTGCTCTGAAGATCAGCTTATTAAGAGGCAGACATCTGAATGAAGTGAGGTTCCTGGGGAGTCTGTGGCACCAGACATGCCAGAAAGGGAGGCATGAAACCCTGTTATGCGCCATGACCAAGCAAAAGGCGTTTTTACCTAGGCAGGATTGGTGGTTAATATTCTGCTCCTGTGCTGTGCTCACTGAAGCCCCGGAGTGCTTTTGTTCATGATCTGGGTCTTGTGCAGCACATTTACATGTGACCAACTGTTGGAGTGGCTCAGTCACCTCGGTACAGAACAGGGCTCAGCTGAAATGCCAAAGGCACGAGCTTCGTTTGGGACGTGAGGAAAAACCAAACAAAAATATCACAACTTTTTTTTTCTTTTTCTTTTTTCTTTGATAAAAACCTTAACAACAGCTTCCTTATTCAACAGGATGGTTGGTTACATTACATCTGGTTGTATGGTTACATTACATCTGGTCAAAAGCCTAAAGATGATTTAGCTTTTAACTAACTTTTTTTACTTTTAATTGAGTTTGTTAGGCGTAAATAGCTGAATGACACATCATTTGTTTAACTCAGTATATTCACAGCTTAATTAAATAATTCACATGCTAGTCTCTAATCGTGACGTGAAAAGACCAAAAACCAAATTAAATAATCATAGCTCCCTGAGCCAATTGCTTGGAAAAGAGGAGCAGGGTCTGTTGAGACATATGGCAAACAATCTTTGCTGCAAACCAGCAAGCTAAAACACACCACTACTACCATGTGGTAAGAGTACATATCCTTTTGCACAATATATTTTCCAAACACACTCTCGCCAGGAGCAGCAGGTGTGTAACTGAACTTAGGTTTGAACAGATAATTTGAGTACTATGAATTGGAAGGAAAGGGAGGAAGCTGGGAAAGGGAATGAAATATTGTGAAATAAAATTGCAATTTCCCTTACAGCTCTTTTAATTGTTAACTTATAAGTTGGGAATTTGTGAAATGTGACAAATAAGGAAGTAATTGAGAATGCCTGCTGCACTGAGATCTGTCTCTGCCAACATATGCGTAAGTAGAAATTGGTGTTGGAATTAACTTCAGTGGAATTAAGCACCCACACCAATTTGAGTGAGGAATGAAGCCATAGATATAATTGCTATGAATTTGCCAAGGTTTGTTGCTTGTTTTGGTTTGTTTTTTTATATTATGGCTTTATTACCTAATCACCCTGTTGTGCTGCATGTATACTGTATGCAAAAAAATACAGATTCTGTGCCCAGCACCAAAATGCAAAGAAGTCACCTTCTATTGCTGATGTTATCCCACATGGGAACAATGGCAGTAACCTCAAATAACAACAGTTTTCTGTTGCCCAGGTTCTCTGCTGTGGTGCTGTGGTAATCCTGGTGTGGCACAGGCAGGACGAAGGAGGTGTGCAGGGGAATATCCACTGGAGCCAGAACGGCAGGGCCTTGGTAAGTGAGCTGTTTGTTCATATTCTTCTATTGCGTATTTGAGAGAGTCAGACCCAAACAGAACTGCCAGGACAGAATATTCCTCTGAGAAGATGAGCATGGGTTATGTGTCTCGGCTTTGCCAAAACGCTATGGAAACCACTGCTTCAGTTTGGGAATAAAGACGTAGGCACAAACACTGCCTCGGGCAGGGTGAAGACCACCCTTGGGCAGAAGTGCTTGGGAGCTGCAGTGGTGAAAGGAGGGGGGTGTGCTTTGTTTTGCAGAACATTTGGGTGTGTATAACAGGCCTGTCTAAACAGAATTGGTGTGTCTGATGGCTGATCCAATATTCCAAGGAGGTCCTCTATTCAGAACTTGTTTTCCTTCCACGCTTACCCTACTTTGTGTATTGTGCTAGATTATACTGGTTTCATAAGTGGCAGTCACAGTTACTGTCCATCTGGATATGTTTTGAGGCTCTATAAAGTTTTAACAACTGTGAAGGGGGAAAATACAAAAATATGCAGCCAGTCTGAAGTGGTTATCTCGAGATTTACCCTCCTGTCACCAGGAAGGCACAGAGCACCCTTCGCAGTCCTTGTAAAACTTACTTAGATCTGTACCTTAATAACACAGCAAAAAGCATTCTCTTGTGAGTTGAGATTCTCTCTCAACCTGTAATCTCTTCATGAATGAAAATAATTATAATATTAAGGTCATACTAACACATCTCTACACATTCAATCTTGATTCAGGTCATGTATAACTGAATCAGATACTTGGTTAACTCTTGTGCTTGTCCTATTGCTTGTTGTTAAATTAGGGGATTTTATACTTTTCAGTATCTTTTAATAAGATTTTGGTTTGCTATAATTTATTCTCATGCTATTCACTATGGAATGCCAGTCAGTTCTCAAAATACTTGTACATGCTTGTCACATTTTTTTCACATTTAAAAAGCCCTCTTTTCCATGTTAACCCAGACTAAATTACCCTGTCAATCTTTAACTCCTACCTCTGTGCTGATAGATTATGACATACATCTGGCAAGGCAAGATAGTTCTGCAAATAAACTACTCAGATGCCCATCGTGAATCTGTGCAGTAGGGCTTTTGAGGTCAGAAGGTTTAGATTGGTCATCTCTAAGTGTAAAAGTAGGGCAGGTACTTGTGTTGGGTCGAAGGGACACAGGGCTTTGGGACTGCACCTCTCTCAACTCCTGCCTTCGCATCATCAGATAATTCAGGGCTCGTTTTCCTCCGGGTTCTGGGCTATTTGTGTGCTGCTCAGCAATCAGCAGTGCTGTGGTTTATTCCCAGCTGTGGCACAGAACAGCACAGGACACTCAGCACCACTTTTTGCTCAGCCCAGGCAGGCTTCCTGTGGATGGTGGGTGACTGCAGCCCATGGCTCCCCGGAGCTGCCTGTGAACCCGCTAATGGTGTACAAGTGCAGGACCACCAGTGCCAGGTCTGTGCTGTGCTGAGGTCACACTGTGAGAGGAGATTTATCAGCACAGCATGTCCAGCTGGAGCTGGAAGCAGAGCCTTTCTGCTCAGCAGGTGCTACAAAAGGACTGGCACATGCCAAGTGCTGGTGCCCGGAGTGCCACTGCACTGCCCATTACTGCAGCCCTCAGTCAGCTCCAAACCACCCTGAGGCCCAGCTCTGCTTTCAGCTGTGCTGCTCCTGATGTGTTGATGAACACACAGCAGAGGAGAAGCCAAATTACACAGAACTGTCTTGTTCTGATGTATTGGGGAGTTAGTTGCCAGTGGCCCCCAGAGCACAGTAATACCTGTGCTGAGAACAGTGTCAGGGCTCTTTGCACAGCAGCTGAAGCTGCGCCTGCAATTCAAGTGTGATTTAAGTCTCTCTTGTTCATGCCCAGCTTTCTGGTACTTCAGCCCTTGGCTATCCCACATAGGCCCATATATATATATTTTTTTTTTTCCATCTTCTACTGGGGTACGGGGGAAAAAAGTTCCTGTGAGACTATCACAAGGCAGAGATGCTGTTAGGACAGGGAAGGATTTTCCTGTAGGGTCTTAGTGCCCATCTGTAATAAATTTTTATGAGGGTTTGGAGGAAACAGAGGCCTGGGCTAAGCAGCAGGTTAGTGGTTTGGAAAGCTGCACAGCCCAGTTACTGGCAAATCTTTGTTTTATCCATCCTGACAGGTTCTGCCATACCATACAGGTAGGTATTTTTTCTAATGCTGTAATATAAATCACTGTCAGGTCATCAGCATTCCCACAGTTTTCCAAAGTACTTTTGTGTCTGCCAAAGATTCCCACAGGACCTCTAGGCCTAGAGGATGCTATATAAGCTCCTTTAATGGAGCATGTAGTGCTGAACTGTGCTCTGCTGCAACATTCCCACTCAGAGGAAGAGGCATAAGGAATGAGGTGGTCCCAAGAGTTATGGCTTAAGAACCATATTAAAGACCTCTAGTAATAATATGTCTTAAACCATCATAGCAAAGTAAACCAATATTTTACTTATACAAAAGCTTTTTTTCCTTTCACTATTCACTTAAGAAAATTCCATATGAGGATCTCAGAGTAGAGTAAGACACCATCAGGAGACTGGAACCTGTGCCAGCCTGCAGAGGCCTGTCCTCCAGCTGAGAACAGCTCAAGTGCAACGTGTGCTGGCCACGTGTCCTCCTGTGCCTTGTTCATTTTTCCTTTGGGTGAGTACCTATTTCCCCTCTTTTTTTCCTAAACTTTCAAAAAAATTAAAAAAAACCGAGATAAAATTCAGTTCATGTATTATTTTGTGAGCATCTTTTTTTATCCCTGGGAGTTGGAATTACTGCCTTTGCCATCTAATAACACAACAGAAGTCCTGAAAATAGGAAGTGATGTCTCAGATCCCGGGGCTGCTTTTGCCACCCCGCAGTGATGCTGCCCTGCTCTTGTGCTGCCCTGCTTTGCTGAAGGTTGTGAGAGCAAAGCTCCAGCCACGCTAAAGGATTTGAAGCAAAACAGGCCCTTTTCTTTTCAGATCATCTCAAGGGCCTTCGAGAGCAGGAGGAAACCAAATGACAGTTAATGGATCGGGGAGGGCCTGACCTGAGGATAAGGTTAAGTGGTGTAATAATCTCCATCCTGAACTTGGGGCTGTGGAGCAGCTTCCCTAATGTGCTTGGTCACAAGGTGAACCACTCTGAGCAAACCTCACAGATTTTCTGCCCACACCACTTAGAGCAAAGCTCGGGGTTCTGTTAAACACCTGAGTCCTCCCCTAAAACACTTCCTTTTCTTTAATTAATGACTACTTTCCTCCACATTACACTCACTGATAAACTTGACATATTTCTGTGCACTGCCCTTTCTTTGGTGCTCTGATTTTTTCACTTCCAAAAGCACAGTGTATCATATTTTCTAGATATAAAACATTTCTTAGTTAAATTATAGGCTTTCTTCTTTGAGAATCAAAGAAGTTAATGCATGAGTTCTCTTTGTTTGGCTTTGTTGTGAGGGAAGGGAATGGTCTGGCTGAAGAACTGTTTCTTTTGAGAGAGTGTTGGATGGCCATATCAGTCAGATTTTTGTTTTTCTTTCTTTGCCTAGAGAAACTCTGCAATTCATTAGCTAGTTTTATCTTTCTTTCAATGTCCTCTTTATGCTTGTTGTTAAGACCAGTGTAGGCAATATTATCCACAAACCTCATTAAGGAAAAATGTTTTTATGTCCTTCTCTCAGAGAAATGACACATATTTCCAGTGCAGAAAAAACAGCTGAGCTAAATTTGGAATTTCTCTAAAACAAGAAAGAGACTATTGGAGTCTCTTCCCAAGACCCACGGGGATTTATTCCCTGGTGACTTGGGAATTATTTATTTCCAATATACAATGTCCCAACTCAACCCAGCCATACTCTTGGAATATTGTTGGGCTGAAGAAGCTCTTTAGCTTTCAAGGCTTAACACTGACTTACTCTCCCTGAAGTACAATGGTGTTGCAAAATATCAGGCAATGGAACTGATAACAGGATCAGTCAAAAGAAACACTGAGGTAGGAGACCAGCACTTGGTATGTAGATAAGGAAAGCCTTGCACCTGAGCTAACAAAAGCAGAGGGAACCTGAGGAATAGGCTACACAGCCAGGTAGATGGCCAAGAGAAATGGAAAGGAATGGAAAAACAGAAAGCATAAAAATAATCCTTTAGGGAAAGTCACTAATCTCCTAATCAGGATGAAAAGGCTACTAGGAAATGGGTGGCAGCCACAGTCAAAAAGTACTGTATTTGTAACAGAGGTACACAGGTATTTTACTCTGACTTGTCCATGATTTGTACAGATAAAAAGTGCAATCAGAAGTTTTTGAGAGATTTACAAAGTAGCTTCCCCTTGAAAGTGTTCAAGGAAAGGCAGGAGGGGATTCAGAAGTGGATGCAAGTTGTTTACAAGGCAGGCATTACAGACAGCATGCTTTTGTTCTGTTTGCAGGCCAAAAAGACATGGGAAGAACCTGCCACCTCTGCCAGCTGTGCCAGAAAACTTCTTTCCTGAAGAAGTCGTGTGTGATTGATCTCTGAAGCAACTGCTGAGTTACAGTCCCACAAATAACATGGAATTGCTGTCTGCTTGTGTTCTCTGGTAAGTGCAGCACTTTCTTTTAATTTAGGCTGTAGCTGTCATGGCTCATGCTTTCAGCCCTGGGAATCCTCTGTGTGGCCCTTTGAATTGGCCAAGAGAAGCACTGTACAAATACACTTTCGGGATCTTGTGCCAAGGGATCTTCTCTTCTAGTCAAGCCTCAAAAGGTCAGGGTATCTTCAGTGTGGTTGATTTCCCTGGACTGAGGAGGAACACAACAGTGCAGAGAGATCATACTCTCCCCCCAGCCCCCAGAATGGGTAATAACTGAGGTGCATTAGGCTTTCAGATGGACACAGAGAAGAGATTTTGTGTCCTTGAGGTCTGTATTTTATGGTATCATAAGACCTAGTAGGAGCTCACCACTCTGAACCCCTTGTCAGCGGTCATTCCCATAGGCACATCCAAGCACCTTGATTTTAAGTTCTAAGCATTTTCCTAGCAGGAAAAAAAAAAAGTGAAAGAAATAAATTCAGTATTAAAAAAACAATAAGAAGCATAGCGGAAAGAATAATGAAAGATTGGAAATGATTTATGGGTGTAATGGATCACTCTATATATCTTTACAGAAAGAAAATATCCAAATTACCTCAGCTTTAACAGTCATATTCCCTGTGACTGCAGAGGAAGAACTTTTAAATGTATGTGTAAGACTGGAAATGGTTATAAAAGATCAGAGGCTTTCAAAATTCGCTGTGTACCAGGTCTAGTGAGTGCAGTGCCAAGAGTAATATATGAAATCTGATCCGACAGTTTCATAATTTTCCTTTGTTTGAGGAGATCCCCATGCAATGCAAACGTACAGCATCGTGCCAGGAGTAAGAGACACGGTTAGTGGAAAGGACTCGGAGGTAATGACCACTGGGCAGTTTCTCACTGGCAAAATATAAAAAGAAAATGAAGAATTAAGTCCATTAAGAAATCCCAAGGAACATGGTTTAGATTAAAGGACCCTCCTTTCAGCCAGGAGGCTGGAAGGTTGATGTAGCACTGCTCGTGCAGATGTTTGGAAAGTATTTCACAAACTCAGTTTTGGAGAGTGCTTCTAAAGGCTGTTGCTCTTCCGCTGATCTGTGCCACCTCCAATTTATCTTAAGCATAAAATAGGAAAAAACCCCAGAAACTACAGCTTCTAGTTAAATAGGAGAGGTCTTTGTAAAGAAACACAATAAAACATAAGATGTTATGGTCCAAATCCTGTAGATCCAGTATCTGTAGTAGGCTGGCAGGTCTCCTTTTACCTATGAGCAATAAAAATGAAGTAAAAGCAAATCTGTCAAAACTCAGCGAGTTTAATTCAATCCCTTGGTTCATATTGGCTACATGTGAACAGTGCATAGAGCAGTAAATTGCTATACTGAAGTCCTGGGAGTTCAGACTTGGTTGTGTGGTTTGTCTTTAAAAATCTGGTTCTGTATTATGCTTCAGGTAGTGATTTTTTACCAGGATTCTGTACCTGGCAACAGTAGCTCAGCCCATCTCTGCGTGAATCCAGTCCAGCTCTGAATATCTTGAACACTACGCACACAGAAAGATTACTTAGGTAAGATCTCAAGTAAGGGAGCTTGTGTCTGGGCCAATGCTCTGAGGTTCTGCTCATTAGTTTTACACTTTTTTGTTAAATTCTGACTTCAACTTGAACAACACTCAAAGCTCCTTGTCAAGTGTAAGGGTGAGAGCTCCTTCTCTCAGACAGAAACAAACCTGCTTCCTTGTGCCAGTTCAGCTCTGACAAAAGGACAACCCAGCTCTGCTGATGTTCTCTATACTACATTTTCCTACAGGATGGGGGAAATGCTGAATGTTGCTGTCCTCCTGCCTGCTTCCCCTTTCTGACTCTCTGCATTTTTGTGCATCTTTTCTGATCATCTCTCCAAGTCTCTCCCTCATTGTCTGGAGAAGGTGGTACCTAATGGCCATTCCCCAAGGAAACAGTTTCTCCTTTCCTAACCACATTTCATTGTCCCAAGTGCAAGATGTGATGAGGGATGGCTCTTGTCCTAATGAAAGAGAGTGAAGGTTCCATTGACTTCACCGGGGTCAAAACTTCACCCTCTAGGACCTATTGGTAGAAATGGGAGGGAATTTCCATTTTCACAGAGGATTTGCAACCCCTTAATTGTGTTGAAACCTCCAATATTTCCTTCGTGGGGCAAAGTTCATATCTTCTTTCAGATGAATGTAGTGGCTGAGCGTCATCTGCTGCTGCAAAACCTTTACAAGTCACTTAAAACTAGAGCAGGCATAAAAGAGAAGCAGGGTGGGAAAGGGTTGTTTGCTATTAAACACCAACACAAACCCAGCTTTTTGTCTGTGCCCTTCCCCCTTTTTGTTCACACACTCCTCTTCACCCTTCAGACAGCCTTAGAATGCTAATTTTTCTAATCACTTGGAGAGTAAAAACTATTATAGAAATCAACTGAAATATTATTTTAAATCCTGTTTAATGAGACTGGATCCACACCTATAAATAAAGTCTTAATCTTAACTTCCAGGACAAGGGTGTGGGAAGTACCAATGCAACCTGACATATTAAAATTCAAAGCAAGCATTTGAAACCAGTTTCAAAAAGGGTTGTTTAACACATACTGGCAGGTGGGATTTATGAAGAAATGGTTTTAAATAAAAGTCTAATTGTTCTCTTTTCACAGATGTTTAGGATTTCTCTTCACAAAGCAGACGATACAGATGCTCAGGAAGATTCAGTGAAATGGTAGTGTAATGATAAAGATTTGATTGTGCTAGTCCACCAGTTTGTGAACTTTAAGGTATTCAATTATTCTGATTTTCTCAGGGTAGAGTCTGTATGCATGTAACCCATGGTTAGCACTAATAACAATATGAAACCCTTCCCACATCAAAGCTGTGACTACATGCTTTTGTCTGTCCCAATGGTTTGAGAGAAAATCTTGATAAATCAACATGAGTTTTTTTCTTTTTCCTTTTTTTTTTTCCTCTTTCTTAAGTTTTGTTGTCTTGATTAGATAAAAAATAATAGGGGGCTGTCAATCTGTTTTCTTTTCAGGTCTTCTCTGCCTCTTTCTAAATTAGTTACAGCCTGCTTTTTGTAGCTTTATAGCCAGCCTGACCTAATTTAATTACCATGACTTGTGTGGCTTAAAGATAAATAGTTTTATTCAGTCTGCCTACTTTTGTATAAGTTTTCCCTTTCACACATCTCTCTATATTTTGGCATTCAGAATTCTTGTCCTCTGTTCTCGGGTAGGTTAACACAAGGTTAGTTTATAGCATTGTCCATATTTTCACACAAAGGCCTTTGATGCAGTCAGTCCCTGTCTGTGCTGGGAGTCTTTGTGGGACACAAATGAACATGAGCTGGGGAGGCACGGGGTGGAAAATACACCCTTATGCCATCAGGAGGTGGAAATCCTCAAAGCTTGGTCCTATACCAACACTGTCTGAGGTCTTTTTTTTTTTTTTCTTATTTTAGGAAAATACTTCAGAAATCACAGCTTGGGATTTCTTCCCTACAGATTATTTTAAACTGTGCCATAAGCAGACAGAAGATCTCCAGCAACATAACTTTGTAGTAAGAAAATGCCTTCAAGCTGTCCCAGAAGACAAGGGCTTTACACAGAGATGTGTCCCCAATGTACAGTTCCATGGGGTTCATGCCCAAGAACATGGAAAAATCCTTCTACTACTGCCCTCCTGGCCACCTTGGAGTACAGAAAGCAAGCAACCAGCTTATACAACTGCAAAATCTACTTAAAAGAAGGGATTATCATGTTCCTTCCTCTCTGGGGAAAGGGAGAAAGACTGACCAGGAAAACAGGACTGATAGTAAATGTTTTGGGGTTTTTTTTTAAATAATTAAATATCTTACATTCCCATAATGACTGCATTGTTTTATGAACTCAGAGGTAACATTCAGAAATCATGACTGATAGGAAATGGTAAAAAATTATCAAATCTGTTGCATTCCCAGAATCACTGCACTTTTTTTATAATCTCACAGATTGATAACATTCCGAAATCATGACTGATAGTAAATGGATTTTTTTAGAAATGATTAAATCTGTTCCATTCCCAGAATTTTTTAATCTCACAGAAACATTCGGAAATCATGACTGATAGTAAGTGATAAAAGATGATTAAATCTGTTCCATTCCCTGAATCACTGCATTTTTTTATAATCTCACAGATAATGTTCAGAAATCATGACTGATAATAAATGGGGTTTTGAAAAAAAAAAGTTTAAATCTGTTCCATTCCCAGAATCACTACATTTTTTCATCATTTCACAGGTAACATTCAGAAATCACAACTGATAGAAAATGTATTTTTTTAAATGATAAAATGTTACATTCCTATAATCACTGCATTTTTTTATGATCTCACAGGTAACATTCAGAAATCATGACTGATAGTAAATGTATTTTTTTAATGAGAAAATCTGTTACATTCCCATAATCACTGCACTTTTTTATGATCTCACAGATACCATTCAGAAACCATCACTGATAGGAAATAATAAAAAACTATCAAATCTGTTACATTCCCCTAATCACTGCTTTTATTTTCTGTAATCTCGCAGATCCCACTCAGAAATCATGACTGAAAGTAAATGGTTTCTTGAAGAAAAGATGAAGTCTTTTACATTTCTGTAATCCCTGTGCTTTTTTAAGAGTACCTCCATATATGTTTAATCTATGAACACTAAACACATTTTGCAGTAGTTTGAAAACAGTTCTGTTGAGACTTGCTGCAGTTTTTAATATAACTGTAGATACCTAATCTAGTGTCATCTCTGTGTCACGTTGATGGTGCTAGAAGAGCCTCTGGCACTTTTCTGAAAAGGCACCTATTTGGGTTTAAAATGAGTATATTTGAGGTCATTAGGAAAGGAAATTTCCAGCACTAATTCTGCCCTAGCACAGGTTTTAGCAGAAAGAACAAACCAAAGAACAAAAGGAAACCCAACAACTGTGTTTGATGAATCCATGTGCAATATTTTTGTTACAATGAAATAAAAGACCAGACACCTTGAAGTTGCTCTCCTGTGTTTAATTCTTCTGAGCTACTTTTTAAATTGATCTCCCAGTACTTGGTCTCTTCCCACCCTTGTTATTAAACTAACAAAAGCAGTTTATACCACCACACTATAAGCAAAGTAATAAAATAAAAACTTTCAAGCATTTGCTTCAGCCTGTTGGACACATTTACCTAAAATCACATTCATGTTCTATTCTAAATAAAATTCTATACATACCATTTTATTTCAATATATAAAAGCAAATGTAATATTCAAATGCCTTGTTTCAGCATTGTTGGTCTATTTATCTGATGGCAACATTCCTACACAGCTTACATGACCCTAACCTGAATAATGGTAAAGCTGCCAGGAAGCTGATTTGCTTCAGAACAGATGATAACGTTCCTGTAGGTGCAGGGGAAAAAAAAATCACATCCAAACCCTTCATATAAACTTTTCAAGAAATACTGCAATCCTCAGCAAAAATCAAGTAAGTTAACACATTTTGATAAAATTTAAAACTTCAGGGCCTGAGGGCATATTTATCATACAAAGAGTGTCACCTGCAAAGGAAGAATTCCACGAAATCCAGTTGGAGATTTCTGACTGGTTCATCCACTCTTTCCAGTTGTCCTTTTCATATTTAATGGTATTTATTTATTTGGACCTTTTCCTTGACTGAACTGTATATAAACTCATGACTACAAAGAGAGCAGTGTTTGACAGTTAAGGCAGCTGCTATCCTTGCCTTTAGACCTACCTCTTCCCTGTGTGCCATTGCCCCTGGAGAAGGAAAAGATGAGCCAGAAGGGACAGAGAAGCAGTTCCTGAATGGCTCAGGCTCATTTTACTGTGGTAACTTATATCTACAGCCTGATAACTTACAAAAATGAACACTCTGTATGCACCAGCACTGGATAAGAACAGCAGAAGCAGGTACACATAAATTAAGATAGCAAATATGTGTGGGACACAGAAATCTGTGCTGAAGGACTGAAATGAGAGTTACCTGGGTTCCTCCAGAGGCTCTGCTGACAAAGGCAAAGTGTTCCTGGCAACAGTGATCGATCACTTCTGCTCTCCTTTCTAGGAAGGTGAAAAATCTGTTTCTTTTATGTGTCCAGAGTGTTTCGATTTTAAGTGTTTCACAAAAGGTTACATCTTCCAGTCTGAGAGCACAATGGTCCTTGATCTCATTTGGTGTCTGTAGATGATTTCATTTCACCTAAAAGCAATATAAGAGCCACCACAGATGAATTTTAGAAAAGGTCATTCCTTATTTACATATCTATCTTTGTTATATCCTGTACAAAAATTATGTCAGAATGAGATATGCCAGGAGGGAAAAAATAAAAGTACAGATAATTCCCTGATCTGAATGTGGATCAAACACTGGCTGCATTTGGCAGAAGTGCACATCTGATTGTTACTGCAGCCAGATTCCAGGAAATAAAGGGCAGAATGTGGCACAGATTCCACTGCTCTGATCATGCACAGAAACCAGCTGATATTTTGAGGTTCTGAGGTTACAACATGTGGCTCTTCTAAAGCACAGCCTGCAACCTTGAGGGGTTTGTTTTGTTTTCCAACTGGAATCTGACATGCATGGCATGTGAACATTTGGAAGTCATATTGATCACCATGCATTACATATAATTGCTTTAACTTTTATAGCATGCAGTCATTAAACTGACTTCCATAATAATAGAGCACTTAACAGAACCCTTGCCCACATGTGACCCAATAAAGAGGAATAAGAGTGGTGTCTAACTCTACAAAGAGTGTTTACTGGAGTGTGGATGGATACACACCCCTTCTAAATCAGTGGTGATGCTTCCAAAGGAAGGGCTGGAGAGGAAGCGGGTCAGCCTGTGATCTGGGAACAGATATACACACACACATAAGGACAAACTATTTCTGGCACACTCAACATTCTCTGAACAGCAGGGAGAGATCTGATATGTGAAACAGTAGGCCCCAGCCAATTAGTCTGTGGCAGATAAGAACCTCTCCTTAATTTGTGCTGTTGGGTTTATATGTGGTTGTTCCTCTCTGACTTCACTAAACCCCAGTTTTTATCAGCTGGGATGCTGGCATTCTTTCCAGGTGCAGCAAGGGATTTGGAAGGAATGAAGTATGATCTGGGGGCCTTGCTTCTGTCATAAGGGGAGCAATGCTTTTGTAGTTCTACTGCTCAAAAAAAATCTGTGAACAAGAGAACTAGCTCCTTTATTATCCACACAAGTGCACCCTTTCAAAGCATCACAGGCAACTCAACAAGTAACATCCATTAATATCTGACAGCAGCAAGACTCAAGAAATCAAAGACTTGGAAATTTGCCTTGCCAGAGTGGTGCAGAAAAAGTTCCTATAAAAATAGTCAAGAAAAGTTAAAAAAATCCCCTATATCATGAATATCTTGCATTGCTGTTTACATCTGTGCATTGCTACATTCCCAAAGTTAAGAAAAGTAAAGGTCTTCTAAGCCAACATCCCCAAGGCACATAAACAACTGTGGGGTACATTGTTGAGATGGCAAATTCACTCCACACGTTAGAGAAACTTTTAAAATTTTAAACTGGTACTTGCATTATTCCACTACATCAGCAAAAGCAGCACCTCACACTTTTCTCAGTAAGAATTTAACAGCATGAATCTAAATTTTCATTTGATGGAAAAAAACCCAGAAAAACCTTTACAGTCCTTTTTGCTAGAGAAAGAATTTTTTGAGGCCTCACAGGAGGGATTTTTTTCTTTCTCCTTGTTGTTGTTAACTTGATTTATTTTTACATATCCTTAGAAGCTGCAGTCAAACTTCACACAAAAAGTGTTTCCAACAAAAGAGGTTCATGCTTCTGGATAGAAAACAAGTAAAACTCAGATTGAAATTCCTCCTTTACTTCCGTGACCCGGGGCAGCTCCTGCTGCCTTTAAAGTATGCAGTACTTCTCCTGTCCCTGGTGATTGTTATTAATACAGTTTAGGGAAAGTGGTGATAAAGATCAATTCCTTACCCAGAAAAGAAACATTAACTGCTTCTTTCATGTCTTCCGTAGCGAGTGAGCAGCTACAGTTTCAAATGATCCCCAGATGTTTAGGACTTCTGGTGCTCAAAAGCAGGGTAGGTTTTCTCCAGAGCCAGGGTGGGTATTTCTGGTTATCCTGCACGCTCCAACCCCTTGTCCTCAGAAGAAAATGTAAAGGTCAAAGAAAAAGCCTGTGTGGTGTAGAAGTCCCCAAGGAAAAATAAACCAAGGATGGTCTCTTAGCATTGGCCAACTTAAGCTATACCTCTGCATACTGAACAAAATATTGAAGGGATTCCTACAGAGATGGGTATATGAACACTACAAGCTTTTCACTTAGTTACAGGAAGATTTAATGATTCCAGTAAAAGAATAACTGCTGAGGTCTCTCATAAAAACTATTCTATTTTTCTGGTTCTTTACAGCAGTGTTTTTCTTTATTCTTTCTCAGAGCTTGGACACAGTACAGTCCACCTGCATTTGTAAACATGATTACTAACAGAAAAATGGAAAAAAAATATTTCCTCCTTAGCTACTACAAGAATAATAAGAACAATTTTCATTCTACTTCTCTTTCCTTTGCATTTTGTTCTAATTATTCCCTGGTGATATGAAGATTACCTTTACTAATGCTTAGTCCCACTGGAAGCAATTAATGCTGATAAAAACAGGCACTTTCCAAGAGCTTTAAACAGATTATTGTCTGAAGAGCCCAACAATTCTGTTGTTATCATATACAGGTAATAAAGACAGAGGAGGAACATGCCATATAGGACATTAAAATACTTTACCTTCTTGGTCTGCACTGTTCCTTTCCCTCTCATCTTCTGAGGAGCACTGCCCAAAAGATTTAGTGCTTCATGAACAGCAAAGGCAAAGACAAAATGTCCCAAACCATGGTAGGACTCAAATCCAATCTCTCACACCTGCTACAGACAAACAAAAGCCCCCAGTCCTGATTTCAGAGCAATTATTCTGACTGAGCACTCAGATAACTGAGCTGGGCTCCTCTTTTTAATGAATTTTTAAGATGCCAATCTGACTTCATTAGATCAGACCATTTGGAAATTAAGCATTTACAAGTGTGGTTACGCTATTTCTTTCATGCCAAATAGGCAGGATTTAAATTGACTTCTCTGCTCACGTGCAACGGTCACAATTAACCAAGTTGTTCAGTCTCTGCAGGATCAGAACCAAAATACTATCTGGATGGTATTTTTAAACAGAGGATGACATTTTTTGACCACATTAGCTTAGGTGATACTGAGAAGGTGGTAGGATGGCCTTGCACACAGGGTGTTCCCAGCGGGAGCTGGGAGGTTTGAGTTAGACCATGTTAACACAGTTTAGTTCTCCCAGTCAGAAGCCTGGCTCAACATAAAGCTACTCTCTATTCTACTGCAAAAATATGACACAGGCAAACATGCATTTATGAGCAGAACAGTACCTAGTTCAGGTGTGAAACATTTTAATCTGTTAGCATACAAATGTTAGGAATGTTGAGTTAATAATCTGTTAATCCTTGACTACTGTTAGTCACGGGTTTGTTCAAACTGAACTCTAAATTCACTTATTCAGTAACTCCCAACTACATACAATCTTATTTTTATCAAAATCCTGCTACTTACTGATATATTTCACTCAGCTTGTCAAAAACAAGTGGAAATACAAACACTACAGACAGAGGTCTTCCAGTGTAAAGAGGCCAATCTTCCTGCTGAGAAACCTGAAAGAAACGATGAAGTGCATCACTGATTCTCTGTTTATTGGGAAAAGGCACATTTGAAAGTCTTAAGAAGTAAATGCAAATTGGAACCTCTCTTCCATAGCCCTGAAATGGAATTGGGGCAGAGACACTAGAACTATGCTGACAATCTGGTATTGCGGTTTGCTGAGAGAAAATGGGAGAACAGCTGGAAAGCAATTCCATTAATAATTTCCACCCTGTTTCTCCCTCTTGCAATTCACTTCATTTCAGGCTTTCTTTCCCCATTCCCAAGTCTTCCACATTTTTGTTTCAGCACTTCAAGAAATCTTTCATCTACAGATTTCCCCTTCTTTCCCCCTTTTTTGGCCTGTTTCATTTCCCTCCCAACTTTACCTGAGGGGAAATCACTGTTCACAATTAGCTAGATGGCTATAGAGGAGACACACAGAAAAAAATACATCTAATAATTACAAAAACAATTTTTTAACTTTAAGGATTGCAGAACTTTCTTCGTTTGAAAATCAATTTCATTGATGGGGATCCTACTTCAAAAAGAAATTGTCTTGTTAATTAATAAAATTTTGTTCAAAAATACCAATCCCCTCAACTATAAATAAGCATGGGACCACTTGGCTACTTGTCACCAGCTTCCCAAAAAGCATCCTTCTGTTTGCTAAAGTAGTTACTACTCTCAGATATTATTAAACTGCAGAGACTATGGGGCTTTTTAAATATTCTTTCACGTCCAAGATTATTAATGTGTCCTTTTTAGGTGTTATTTTTGTATAGATTAGCTTGTGTTTCCCACCTGAATTCTCAATGAGGCTGCAGCTGCAGTGTGACCTCAAACTTTTTTTTCCCCTCTCTTTTTTTTAATTTTTATTACTTAGCAGAGATTTTAAGATAGGAAATAACGGGAAGCTTATTGGGCTTGAAGGCAATCCCTAGTGATACACACTTTAGTTGGGGTGTAGCTGTTAATATGTCTGGGACCACAAGCGAAAGTCAGCCAGAGAGCCCACTGACTCAAAGCAAAATAATGATGAGGGTGAATGTCCTGGGATCTGTAAAATCACCTGTGATGCTGCAGCTCACCAAACTATACCTAATTTAACAACTTTCTTAAAATGTAAAGACTAAACTAGAAATTAGGAAAAGCCAAAACAGAAAAATGTGGTGGAGATGGACAAGATGATTGTGAAATAAAATAAACAGGCTTTAAGAGAAAGCAGAAAGCTCAGCTTGTCCTTATATTATTTGCAAGTGAACACACTTTCTTATAATAAATATTATAAATACATAAATACTATAAATAAATATATATATTAAGAATAAATATTATAAATAAAGATCTCCACTGACCACATCTAACATGAAATTGGAGAACAGTCAGTTATTTATGATAGAAATGAGTAGATTAAGTGCTTTGCAGAAGCTCACAGAACCCACTGTAACACTTTTGGCTCACTGGACACTCTGAAATAGAACCTGAACACTTCAGAACAAGTTAACCCCGCTCAAGAGTCTTTGAAATCGGCTTTTGTTTGTCACCCATAGGCTCTCATGACTCCTCCTCCTTTTCTGCACACTCTATTATTACTCATGATCTGTCAGCAGCCAAGGAATTCCTCTGGGTTTCGGTGATGAAGTGCTTCATTTGGACTAATTGTTTCATTTACTTTAAAAGAACAAAGAAATATGTCAAAGCACATTTACTCTTTTGGGGCCACTTTTGGATATGTGTTGTGAGGTTTAAAGGTTTTTGGAGCTGAAAACTGAAGATTTAACTTCCAAAAATTCTTTTAAGTCAAAGCATCACCCACTATAGATATTAAAGACACATGGTGAGGAGAGCATCAAAGTTCTTGCATTTCTGCTGCTACACATTTCACCTGAATGCCACCAATTTTCCCACAGTATCTTGGCACATCTCAGATATGACACCACGGAATTCAGGCTCTTCATCCTCTGCTCCCTGAACAAAAAACTGATTTTGTTTCCAGTCCCAAACCTCTGCCCCATTTCTGCTGTCCTGATGTCCTCCTGGAGCTGCTTATCCTGCTTCTTTCTCTTCTGTTCCCCTCCCAGCTGACCTGTGTGTCACCCTGGTCAATCATCTCTAACTCATCTGCTGGAAAACAT